GGTTTTTTTTGAAAATTAAAAAGTTTATTTCCCCCCCCCCCCCCCCCCTTTATGGTCATGTCTCTATTACTTTTTTTACATGAAAAGATAAACCCTGTTGGTTTACGACATATCGATATTGTTTTTGCTTTTCTCGTCAAAAGTTGGTCCCTATTTATGTTATGTACTTGTCGTGTAGCAGCCTAGTTTCTGCTAGAGCACTGGCTCATCTTGGCATATCACTTCACTTAGAGCATCGACTGAGCGTTTTACCCATTTTAGCTGGAGCTGCAAGCTTGCAAAAAGTTGGTATTGATAACTCTGCTGTACAAAAATATACAATTTTGGCTCTGTAAGGTGTGAATGCTGACAACCGAGGATAAACATTTTTCATCTGAATGACTAAACGAGCTTTCTTGTCATTCATAAAGTCACAAGTTTGCTGCAAGTGCCTCGGAGAACTCGTATGAATCCACCGTCAGAACAAGCCACGTTTTCAGCTTCTGACACTCCAGAGGTTGATAAAGCAAGTAGCATTGAACATGATCAAAACACAACAGATACTCATAGAAAGAAATATCTATTAGACTGGGAGAGTTTAGGGAGAAGGCCATGGTATGAACATCCTTATTTTCAGAGATACTGGACCCATTACCGATCAGTAATGAATTGTAATCAGCAGACGACAAAAACACCAGACAGGGGATTGAAGTTCGCCGGATACCACTGGATGCCATTTATGCTTCCATGTTACCTTAGCAACCCAGCATTAGCGCAGATGTCAAAACATGCATCAGCACACAGACGCAGTTCACAAACACCCTCCCATACCTCTGATACAAAAAGCAGACAAATGAAGCATTTAAAGGCATCAAAAAAGAGGAAAAGGAAGAGAAACTCTAGCAGTCGGTCCAGCAGTCGTGTCAGTTTTTCTGAAGATGTGGTCACAAATGAAGGAGACTCACATGAATTTGAGATGCATATAACAGATGAAATGCTGGCATTTTTTGAGGCTTCTGCCAAGCATCGAAAGGAAAGAGGTACAGTGCATACAAATGTTTGTGACATCCTTTATTTATACATGTTTTATTTTTTGATATGATTAATTTTTAGATTATTGCAGAATTAATTTACATTCATACAGTTATGGGTACACATGTCAATTGCTCACTTTGCATTTTTCTTTCTTTTTTTTTTCCTTTATGATAAACTTTTACAAATGTATCCATTTTAGATGCCATGAGACGTGAAGAAGAGAATAATGCTGACAAAGGAATTGAAAGTGATTATATTGACATAGAAGGAGGTAAGTGACTGGCGATCAATGTTACATTTACATTTTGTCAGATGCACAGGCTGTACTAATCCTTGCCTCCTTGAAAATAATACGTACCTCATTTTACAGAACGCAATTTTATCATAGTTTGACTTGACATATTTATCAGAGCGTGTAAAGACACTCCTGTGTACCATTTCTTAATTTATAAATGAATGACAGTCACCCTTTATATCACAATTCCAGTGACTGCTGCCACCAAGTCCAGAGCCAGTGCCCATGCTCCATCTGAGCGCCCAGGTGCAAAGCGCACCACACAGATGAAGCTGTTGTATGGGAAACATGCTGCAATGATACATGGAATGGAGACTGCAATGCAACTGACATTTGATAGAAATTGTGACATCAAGCAACCAAAACTTTGGCCCAATATGCCACTGAATATTAAATTTTAGAATGTCTTATGAAAAGTGACAACACGTCATGTCAGTATCATGTTAAATAGCATCATGACTGAATACTGGACAAGGGGTACAGTCATCTTTTCAGTTTGAAGGAATAGAACAAGATTTTAAAAATTCATCTACCAATCACTTCCCATGGCTCTGTAGTTGAAATCATGACTGGTCTATGTGAAATATTAGCAGCTTGGGACATTTGAAACGAACACTTTCTCAATGCACCAAATATTTGCCTAGTTAATTGGCTTGCCTGGAAGTCGGAATGCAACTTTGTAAAGTGCAATTTGATTAAATTACAACTTTTTAACCTGTTTAAAATTGGTCACTCTTGAACCTAGCGATAGGATATATATATATATATATATATATTTGGTAAACAAAATTGGCTAGTTTTTTTTTTCTTTTTTTTTACCATGAAAAATTGCATGTCAACAACATCAGCTCAAGCACAGCCATTTTCACTGCATGGCTAACAAATTAAAACAAAGCAAAATTTAAGTAGAAAAAATATTTATTTAAAGGATTAGGAGTACATGATGCTTGCAAGAACCTTCATTACAGTTATTTCTTAAGCTTGATGATGCCCCTATTCCAGTATATAAAAAGAATTATTCTTTGAACAGTCAAGTAATTGCTCTCACACACTAGTCATTATTGTGCACCTTTCACAGTACTATACAATATGGACTTGTTCATGATTGCAATACAGCACCTTATTAATAACACTCATACAATGACTTTGACTAAATACTGACCTTGGTAACGTAAAAAAATCAACATTTACAATTGAAGTAATAACAGGAACAATATTAAATGTGACCTTTAACACCTTTCTTTAGAAACATCATGGTACTTTTCTAACCAACTTCAGTTTTTGAAAAGTTCAGTGAAGACTTCAAACTTTCAGTTTTGGCATGACATTTGGCATATTACAATCAACATGTGAAACTTTTATTAACTATCTCAAATTAAAATCAAAATTAGGTCATGAAATGGCCATCAATTAGTAAATTCTTTATCTGCAATTCACCGACCTGAAGCCCACACTAAACATACCATTATTAAAATTAAATCCTATGTAGATAACATGGCCAACTAAAGAATTTAAAAACTTAGATACGTAGCTAACATGGCCAAGTAATGAATTAAAAAAATGTTTGTCTACAAAGTAAAAAGTTACTATATCTTAATATCATCTTAATGAAAAAAAACTTCCTGAGATAATGTAAGTAGGCACGGCAACAAATGCTACTAAAAAAGAATGTTGCACCAAAAGTGGGGAAAATTGCACTTCCAACTCTTTGGTATTTTTGTTTTGTTGCCTTAAATTTTCATACGAATTAACTAAATACTAACATCTATTATCTCTACCATTTTTATCATATATAATTAACATGCTAACATAAAGTCTAAAAAGTAAGGTTTTCTGAAATCAACCAGCTGTCCTGCTGGGACAAATCATTCTAATTAGCACCAGAAATAAGGAGGTGTAGACAATTATCCTTATCAGAAAAATACAGCACTTCTGTATATATTTCTCTATCCAACACCGATAGGCAATTTGTACTCTTTACTTACAGAAAGCCCTACCATATTACTTGGGAATTCATTCTGGAAAATTCTTATACGTCTTGTGCAGTCCAGTATTTTGATCCACTGTGGTTCCATATCCCAGTTGGTACGTTCTATCACCGAAGTCCATTTGAGACATCATGGCCGTTATATCTCCAAGATTTCCTAGCATGTTTTGTCCACCTACTCCAGGGACCGCCTGCCACTGAGGAGCTCCTTGTAGAAATAATGACGGCATCTGGGGTGCCAGGAAGTTAGTATTTGGCACAGGAGTAGCCAAACGATTTGGCAAGGTTTGGGTGGACAAAGGTGGTAACTGAGGTGCTGCATGGTGATACGCTGGTGCAGTCAACCGATATGTGGAAGTTTGAGGCGCAACAAAGTTTGTATGCAGAGTAGCATGAGCTGCAGCTGTGGTCTGACTCTGTTGTTGCTGCATTGGTCCAAGAGATATTAGTGGAGTCTGCAGAAAATGTGGTTGGGTCATCAACATTGTCTGGTATTGTAACATCAATTGTTGTTGTTGTTGAGGTGTTAATGATGTTGATGCCACTGCCATGTTGTTGGTGACGGGTTGACTGCTGGGAGGGATAGTCAAGTTCTGGATTGGGCGACTGGGAACGACCCTGATTGGGGAAACTATGTTGGTTCTTGGCTCAGATTTCAAATGTTTAGGTCCACTTGGCTGCAAAAAAGAAATCAAAGAATGATCATATCATATCATAATGCAATATCATAGCTTGGATATCAAATTGCATACTTTACAGATTTGATAAGATCTTTATCAGAATCGTAAGTCATCGAAACAAAGATATTAAAAGTTATAAAACAGAAATAGTTTTAACCCTATTTGCATAAAACCAGATTGCAAAGTAAATTTTAACCAATGCTCAGCATCTCAATTTGGCTAAAGTAATAACAAAATGTTTTGCTGATAATTTTGTCAATAATATAGTTATGGTCTGGTTTAAATTATCCTGAGCAACCAATCTGTTAACTAAAGTGATCCCAGGACTGCACAACCAAATTATACATACCTGGAGACAAACAAAAGAAAAGAGCCTTAGCATATGCAGTATAACTTAGTACAACTAAAAATACAAACTTAAAGGCGTATTTTACCTTACTGAACCACTTCCTTTTGTTTCACTAGTATGAACAAACCTTTGGTTGTATTATTCCCTGATTTTTCCCCGAGTCTGCTGGCATTTGATACTGCTGTTCCATTAAAGTGTTTATCAGTTGTTCCTCAGTCAACACCCCTTTTCCTTGGTCAGCAGCTAGACCAAAATGTAAATAACACCATTAATTTACCATAGCCAACATTTCAAAGCAACATTTAACTACACTCAGACAATGATATCAGTAAAATCTATTCTGCACCAAAGTTTGATCTAAGATATATGCCATTTCTCAATTTGGGTTCACTAAGGGGGAGGGGGGTCTACTATCAGAAAAAACTCCCCTTTAAAATTGCTGGCTAGAGGCAAAATTTACATAAAAATTCAATTTTCAATAAGTAAGTTTCCAGGTATCAGCTGCCAATTTATAAGCCTGCTTTTGTGACACAGAATCATAAAGTAATGGTAAAAAATACTGTGTTTAACATACTGCTAGAGTTGCTGATTATGGCTTACAATCATATTATTTGCATATATCAAAAGTAAAAGTGACCAGTCCACACTGTGAATGGCAGTACTTAGTACATATGTAAGTATAACGACCTCATGCTGAGTACCATTCAAGTTATATTAATCCCCTTGGGTTAACCATTACCATCTTTACTGCACAAATCCTTGATCATTTGATTAATCTTCACAATCCTGGCCTCCACTTGATCCAACTCGTCCACTGCATGACTTTTTCCTCCAGCCACCATACTATCAATTATTCTCTGTCTGCAAAGAGAGACCATACGCCTTCAAATTTCTGCAATTTTATATGTCCTCAGGCAGGTTTGCTAACTATAGATATGTACCCACATTCTAGAGAGTATAAACATCATGTTAAACGATAAAAGTATGGATGCTGTAATAGTAATCTCATTCCTCCTGTTACCCCCAGTTTAGGTGTAAAAATGGGTTATGTTATAATGATGTATATTGTTGAGTATTCTGCAGAAGTCAAAAGTTCAGGGCAAAGGAAGTGAAAGTGAAACTGATGTGAACTGATATTGCTCTGTAAAAAAAAAAAAAAACACTGGAGGCAAACAGTATGTGCAGGTCATAATTAAAAGCGTGCCTTGTCTGTTAAATTTTCAGAATGTGTCTGCAGGTGTTAAGCTTATAATTTTATACAAGGTTTAAACATATGCCTTTGCTTTAAAATACCTTCTAAACTGTAATGCCTTCACAGCAAGGTTGAGCTCTTCTAAATTCAGTGGATTGCCTGCAGATTTTAAACTGTCACTGGCGCTAGAGCTGTCATCCTCTTCCTCATCACTATCTTCCCCCTGAAACAGGACAATCATTTTCTACAATCACATATTTTGTCAATACAGATTATTACAAAATACAGTTTTTTCAATATCTACCACTATTATAAAATAAAAAAAAAGACCGTCTTCACCTCTGAATCCCCTCTGCTAGATGTTACTAGCAAAACACTGTTTTGGGAATTCAATTCATCCATTTTCTTAGTGATCAGCAAGCATTTACCAGATTATTGGAAAACAGTGCATCAAGCAGTGAATGAATAACTGACCAACACATTTTCAATGGTTAAAATATCAAATACTCCTCGATTTCATAGGTATGTCTGAGATGTTAAGTTACTAGCCTCAACATATACAATTTTAAATCCATTACTTGGAGACACCTATGAACTAAATGAGTGAACAAGAATTATATATACCAATAATATAAGCAGTTGCCATACCTGCCAGTAAGGGTCTTCAGGATCAAAGGCTTTAATCTGCTCACTGATGGCATCTAGGAGGTCCCCTTCCTGGCACTCCAAGGTATCCAGGATTGTTAATACACTAAAATATCAAATATCTTTATGAGGACCATGTATCTTATCCAGAATATTACCTGGATCATTTCACACTAAGAATTTGGATTTACAATACAGAAACTGACTATGCATAAGCAACACTCCTTCATATTAAAGAAGAACAGGTATAAGTGAAATATGTTATAAGAATGCACTCTTTGTAAAAGTCTTTTGAAATATAGGCACACTTACCTATCAAGCTCATAGAGTGTGATGTGAGATTTCATTACACCTTCAACAACAATGCCAGGGACTTCATACCTGGAAAAGCCAATTATAATGTGTCGCATGGATTCTGGGTACAGATAACTTAAATAGTGGGGTATCACTTAGTGTGTCTAAAGGATGATAATTTGCGTCATCAGACATACATGTAGACAATAACATACAGTTTACTTCATTTACACAAGAGAAGGTGTAATATATCTTTTAATACTCAAGTTAGAAGCTTTTCTCAATACTTATTTTCCCAACATTTGATCAATACTCACTCTTTCAATTCCTCAAATAACTCCGGCTCATCATCTTGAGCAAGAACCACTTTCTTTATTTCAGCACCAGTCTTTGTGTGTCTTAACTAAAAAATAATTAAATGAGGGGATTATGAAGAATTACAAGGTCATCATGCTGACTGGAGACTGCCATGCTCCTTACTGTACTCAAAATGCCTATATCTGTCATTTTTAAAATATGTAATTACTAGTTAGTATAACAAAATAATACATTAAAACAATGGGACTATAAAAATCTTATATGTCCAAAAAATCATGCCGAAACATTAAAAAATATTATGGATAAGATCAACTATTTACAGTGGGAACGACGAAATCAATTACTGATATCGTCCTGTAGCAATGTGATACCTACGGAAGACCTCAATATATCCTTCTCCCAGAGATAGCTGGATATTTCCGCACTTGTCACATAACCTTTGTCTTGATAGCATATCAAGTGCATGCTGTGCACCTCTGTTAACTCAATACTGAAATGTACAGAATTATTTGTGTGACAACTTTGTATGTGGCAGTGACAGGTTAAGTAAGATAGCCTCTGTAAAATAATTCAATTTATCTTCAGTAAAAAGAGCTAGTTATTACTAAAATAAATCTTCAAATACAATTTAACTGTCACAAATTAATGAATTATGAACATTTCAATTTAGGTGTAATGTAAGTATCACAGTTACAGTATATATTTACTATAACAGTTACAGTGCAGTAAAAAATTAATGACAAAGCCATTTGGAAAATGATGCAAAATTTTTGACAAGAAATTATGTGCTTACAATTTCACACATCTTGGGATAAGGTCCTCATCAACATCACTTTCTTCATCTGTGTCACCTTCAGCATTTTCAGCACACTCCTTAGTCAACTGGGCTAATTCAGTGACACTAGTGGAAAACAAAAAAGATATGAAAATCAAGTTTGTCAGTCAGGCTAATCTTTATTTTCTTTTTCTTAAGGAAGGGGTGGGGGTAGGGGGTTTAAACATCCCATACAAGCAATTTTAAGAATAAAATCTCTAAAACTTTATTTCACATTCAGTCTTACAGCTTGAATACGGAAACACTGCTTCAGTCATTAGTAAGAAATAACACTTCATCAAAATAAACTTACTATTTAATATCACCTCACCTTTCAACTAACAAGTTTGCTGGACCAGTATCAGATGCGTGATGAGCAACAGCTTCCTCTGCTGTTATGGCCTCAGACTGTATGGTAGGCTGAGGGAAGGCAGACAGATCAGGTGGTAAAATAGGCTGATCAGAGACAGGGGGATCAGTATTTGGGACAAGGTCTTCGTCATCTGGCCAAAATTCAGCCAAACCTTCCGCACAGAGGACATCATTGATGTGGACGTCTTGGTTTGGATCTGAGGTATCACATAGGCACACAGAGCACACATTGTTCTTGAAAATACAAACATAAAAAGAATAAGATTAACCCAGTTTAAAACTCATCTTTTTTATATAACTACTTAAAGAGACACTGCCAGGACATTGCAAGTAAAGAAATACAGATTTAAGACAACAGAAATCCCTAGTACAGCCCCTTTTATAATTTATAAATGCACAGAAGCAAACACATAACTACCACCATGACCCATACATTTGAAAAACATACCATAAAGTAATGCACCACTTTGCACATAAAGGATCCATTTGGAGCCTCTCTAGCAATTACAATTTCCTATTTTATAGCTTCCAACACATTTGACTTACCACTGAAGGTGTTTCTAGGGCTACCAACAGTTTGTTGACACAAAGCTTCAGCATTCTGTTAGTTGACTTTTTAGACCATCCATTCTACAAAGACGAAGCACTTTAGTTTTCTGAATACTGATGTTTATATCCAACAAAAATTACATACAGATACATAGTATATGCACTAAACAACTTACATCATTCAAGCAGTAGGATCAACTATCCACTGTACACAATTACTTGTCACTTCTGAACATGCCCTCTTCCTTATATAGCCCCTAAGGTAGTGACAAACACACTGCTGTACTATATAAATATAAAATTGGCTCACTGATAACAAACCTTACCTTGTCTGTGGGTCTTATATTGGACAGCCTTGCCCTAATTGCCTGAGCTGGAAGCTTCAAGAAGCGAGTTCTGGAAAAAAAAGAGGAGAATAATAGTTAATTTTTAAAACTATTTATCATGGTATAAGCAATTTAGAATTCAAACTTTCTCAAACAGCAAATTGCAGAGAAGGAAAGCATGCAGACATGTGGTCAAATACATATATATGGTATTTATGCAATATTTTTACTACTTCATATTGATAGCGTGAACCACTGTTACTGGGACCTTAATGCAGAAAAAGATCCAGATATAAAACACTATAATGTCCTATTTTAAAGAAAATAATGAAAAGTATATTTCACCTACTTGAGCATTTTCAGAGATGACTTTGGAACACAGCAGGTATTTCCATAATCCACATAATAAACCTGTAATTCAAACAGAAGTTGCTGAAATCTTAAAACATCTTACCAGGCCCTCAAATTTTTCTCACAGTGAGAAATAATTAAGATTCAACTTTCAGATAATCTATTTACAAAATGCACCAACAGAATGAAAAACATCTTCTGACATGTTCTCATTAACAATCTATATGGTTACTGTTCGATGAACTACTGTATTTATTTATAGCACAAAGATACAAGACATATTTTCCTTTTACCTCAACAAAATCTATATTAGGAATCCCTGTAATTGAGACACGATGCCAGTTTTGGTCTTCAGGAAAGATGGCAACGCATGGCTGACCTATGGCTATGAGAGATTCTGGTAAAGCATAACGATCACCTTCCTGTCCATAATAAACTTCCCTTAAAAGAAAAAAAAAAGGTTAGATGACTTTTATGTCAATTGTCTTAGCACTGTCAAAGACACAACAATGAAAAGTGGTATGCTTGTGCGCACACACACACATACACGCAAGCATAAACATACACACACATTCACTGCTATTCAGACTTACTCCAGTCTATCCATCAACTCCTCCAGAGCCAAGGTGGTGTGGTCCCCTTTCAACATGAGCCAGAACCGTCCAGGATTGACTACATTGGACACATACACCTCCAGGTATGGCTGTGGGTTAGCTGGTGAGGGCTGGGGCATCACCTGCCTGGTGTAACAAGCCCCTGGACCCACAGCATCTGGGGGGATGCCTTTCCTACTCAGAGACCTGGGAATGGACCCCTATTAAAACAATGTATAGATTTTTAAGGGGCTTGTTATCAGATTTTAAATTTTTGTAAAGTCATAAAATCCTTTCACGAAAACATTATTTTCAGCTTTCATTTAAAAAAAAATTAAATAAATAAATAAAAAATACATCCAAATTACAAAATATTCAACCCAGAGGGAATGCTTCCTAATTTGAATTAATTTTTTCAAGCTTCATAGACGATATAATTATGAGCTTCATATTCCCATCAATCCTTGAAGATTTACCTTAAGCAAAAACACATATAATGTGACAGAAAAAATACAAAAAGCACTAAAAAAGAGGTTACAAATCTGTTAAAGGTATGTCTTTGACAACATACTTGTATGCTTTCCTTCTCTGCCCTATGTTGCTTGAGAAAGTCTGTAACTTTTCTGCCAGGCAATTCCGAGGGATCTGCGGCAAAGAGCAACACCTGGCCTGAAGAAAGAGCAGCACCGTGTATGTGTTTATATAAATAACCATATCTTTTACACGTTTTAAAGACATACTGACAAAAAGGGTATAGTAATCATTTTCTAGAAATAACAAAAAATGACTTTTTCTTCTCAGAGTATGAATTCAATTCAGCATTAATAGAGGAGGGCATGCAACCCAACAATTAGGGTATTTAGTAAGTAAGGGTTCCCATTTATCCTTCAGAGATGCACCCCTGGGTGGTGAGAGGATTCACTGCATGTTATGGGTTAAGTTTTGGGGGTCATTGTGGTATCAAATTGTTAACAATTTTTATTGAAGTGTGTTACACATAGGTCCACTTACCCTCTCCCTTGTGCTGCATGTGGATCACGTCTGTGAGATCCAACACTAATGATTCTAAATCACAGAACCCCATTTCTTGGATGGGCAGGTCTTCTCCCACCAGCTCCTGTAACAATAACTCAGCATTAAAATAGGCAAATGTCTTAATTTTAGTCAAAATTCCTACTACAAGTATAAACAACTTTGCTTTGAAAATCTGGAAAAATTGAGGTCTGATTTGTCTTTGCTAAACAAATCTTATTGTACACTGGGGTATGGTATATGGGAAGGATATCTGTCGGAGAATAGCTGTAAAGCTAATGTTTCCATTCAATTTATAACCGACATGAAATAAAATTTATTGCATTGTATTGTATTGTATCTAGAGGGAAGCTAGGATTTCAAATGAGAAACTATCCAATAAACAAAGATGTGACCCATTTAGGTTGATATTACAGACCCATGATTTCTCATAGGCCGCATTCAGATCAGTGGACTAACTAGTCCAAGGGTCAAATAGTGCAGACCCAGTTGAATACTTCTCCACAGAGAATCTATTCAGTGTCTATTAGCAGATTAGACGGCAAGCTTTTTAGTGGGTGGCCACTTTTGACCCTTGGACCCATTTTTGACCCACTGTTCTGAATGAAGCCATAGTGTATGTATGGAATGCAGTAATTAAGAGCCATAGTGTAGGTATGGTATGCAGTAATTAAGAGCTGTGAAGTCCCCTGGGTAGGAGGATATAATAAATCTATCACTTCAAGCATGTCCTTGGGGAATCCTAAAGTAAAGAAATTCAGCTGAACTCCCTTACCTTATAAACTTCTGGTAGTGAAAAGTAGGACACTCCATCTGGATTTGCCAGAAGCACCTGTCTCACAGCTTCTTTGATATTTGGGTCAATCTCTGGCTTGGTGCCAACTGATGACTTTGGTTGAGCAGATTCAGGCACTGATAAAATACGAATGTATAAATATATCTAAAACTGTCTTGAAGATAGGAAAATTAATTAACATTAAGCATTGTATAAGCAAAAAGAGCAAAATATGATGTACACAGGGAATAACTTAAACCCCCCTCCCCCTCCCAAAAATAATCACTTCCATTTTTAGTAAATGAAAAAAAAAAGGGAAAAAAACGGTTCAATCAAATTTAATTACAACAACTACCTTTATTTGATGGACTCTTGGGTTTCCAAGTCTGTGCATCATATAGCAGCCAGTCGCCCTGTGGGTTTGGTCGCTCAATGGTAAAAATATCTGGGAGAGAGGACACAAGCTCTATCACACTGGCAAACCCATACTCTTTGCATGAAAGCTCTTTATTGTGGACTTGCTGTAAAATAATACCAGATTTATGGTAGCAGATTTCAACAAGAATATGTTTAAAAAAAAACAAAAAAACAAAAAAGTGGTAAAGAATAATTGATATCTCAAATCATCATAAAGAAGGGGAGAACTCAAAACCAAGGTCATAGTTTTATAATTAGTATCAGAAATAATGTGTGCTGCAAACTCATGACTTATAAATAAACCTAACTTTTTATAACTAAACCTAGTTTATGTATCTGTTAAACCAAACACTTCCTGAATTGTCATACTGGTAGTTGTTTAGTGTCACTTTACTTACCTTGAATTCAAAAGGAAGCCTTGCTGCCCACATACCATTTTTCCTGCGACTAATGACCTGTCAAAAATGGTGAATTTACTTGTACAAATCTTAACAATACCATGGTTAAATGTTGTATTTTAGGTTGGAAATTTTGAATGAGATGCACAGTTTAGTTCCACTCTTCAAAACAATTCCCAATATTCATTTCTTGGTGTGTATATTTGCATGCACGCAAGAGAGAGAAAGAGAAAGAGTGAGAGCCTGTGCCCGTGCACATCATGCGCTGCTAGGGTGGGTTACACACAATTATTCATATATAGATGTTCACCTCTCTAAGCTCCTTTTTGAATTGTTCGTTCATTCCATCATCCTCATCTGGTGGTTCATCAAACTGTGAGATACTGTCATCTTCATTTTCTGAGCTAAGAGACAGTCGGTGAGTGGTGCCTTGATATCTACTATAACTGCTAGGTGCTTTATGAACAAAAATCAATATCAATATGATCTAGTTAAAGTGCATCATTTTTTTCATTACCAACATATCATTTACTACCATTTATTACTTCATAACCTAGCCAATTTTCAATTTTTTTTACAGTTAAATACAAAATACTTTCTCTAAATTAATATCACTTTTGCTGCAAACTGCAAGCAGTTTTTTATTACAAGTACTAAATTTTTACAGGCACGTCACTTGTTATTTCTGAAATTATAAAGTAAAATAAAATCACACCCCTCCCCATCTCCAATTCCTTAATAATGCATAACTTGATATGGTATTACTCATACCTTCATTTCTGTTTGCAGTGGACAGTCTGCTAGTCTTCGCATGTAATCGGAACCCTCCACCCCTCAATTCTTCAATGTCCACAATATCAGGTATGGATCGCAGAAGGTCACTTATAGACTTAAAACCACGCCGATTGTAAGGCAAATTCTGACCAAATCGTTTTAGAAATGCATGTCCAAAGCTGGAACCCAATAAACCACTTGGGTATGAAGTCAACAGTTCCCTAATCCTTACCCGCAGGAAAGGTGGGACTGTGGGTTGTTGTGGTGGTCGTGGAGGACGACGCGGCGGAGGGCGCCTCGACGGCCGTTTCGACTTCTTGGCAACTTGTCGTGATACCAATCTTTCAATATGTTTCGTGCTCTCGTCTGCAACTCCTCGCAACACAAGCTCACCATGGACCCAGTCGAGTGTGCAAACATCTGGGATGTCTCTGAAAAAATCTTCCGCGCTGTTATAGCCGAGTTCACGAAATGGAAGAGGTCTTCCCTGAAAATTTCTGTAATCGGCCAAGACTTCTCTGGCTGAGAGACCTTTTGGTGTGGATAGCAAAACAGCGCGTATTTCTTTTTTGGTTTCTTTCTTCAGACTTGCTTTTTCTGACATTTTGTTAAATCAAGGTAATTCATTCAATAATATTACTCAAACGGTCATATTTCTTGACTATTCAGGAGTAAACAAACATCAGCGTGTTGTCTTCGCGGGTCCTTTACGATATGCTCGTGAAGCTGAGTTGGTCGAGAATAACTAGAAGCGTTTCGAAATGCTTGCTTTACAAATAAAAAAATCAAATTGGACTTTTGAAAAATAATTCTTACCAGTAAAATATATAAGCAATTTGCTATAAGGCATTGTTATAATGATTGATTTAGTTTGATTTAAAAAAATCATATCAATATTAAAACATTTAATGGAATAAGTGCTTACTAAAATGGCAGCCTCCTTGAAACGTGAGGTTTTTTCCAAACTTTTATTTATTTGGCGCTCTGTCAACAGTAAAGTATCACAACAGTGTGTCAGTCGTTTTCAAACAAAGCAAACTATTATCAAAAATATAGGATCTTCATATAAATTATCTTGCCAGTGGAGTTACAAACATAGGTAAGTACAGCATATCAGAATGTGCCAGACACAAGTTATATCATCTGAAAGGTAGTTTTATCCAGAATGTTATACCTTTGAAATTAAAGGACAGATCACAATTTTATTTGCCTAGCGATTTGGAGAAAGCTGTGACCACTGAGCGCTTTTGTGCCACTTTAAAAACATACTTCGCCTTGATCAATTTTCATGGGGTTTGTTCCATACCACAGATGTTCTATCCCAAATGTTCTTTCACAAAGTATATAAAATTAGGCAAAGAGAGATGTTTGTATCTACAGGTTGTTAAACGAGGGCCTCAGTGGTCGCTGGTCACAGGCAGGCCAGTGATGCTGCAGGACAGGATTGCATGGGGCCTCCAGTGCATTCTCATATATACCTAACATAGGTGTTCTTTATAGTTGTATTTTTTGACTTGGAATTGAGAAGTCTTTTATTCTAAGTTGTAGTTTGTGTGTTGCACTGTGAAGCATTAAGTAAATGTTTCTTGCAGAAGAACATTGGTTTGATTATTATTATTTTTTTTTTTTTGGGGGGGGGGGGTAATTTACAGTAGAAAAAATAAGTTAATCTGAAAGTCTGTTAAAAGTTAATACTTCTTATCGTTTTCATGATAGCACCATAGTGCTACCATGACAACTTGTGTTAGTGTAAAGACCATGGTTCTTTGTTCCAGAGTGAAGTTTGATTAACTACGATAGACACCGATTGAAGGTTGACAAAAGACAATTTGTCTGAACTGTGTTGGTATTGAAAAAACATGTCTACCGTACCTGCTCTCTGATGGCAGTTGCTCTTGAAATTAATGCCTATGTGGTTAGCATTAGGAAATGGAGTTAATGAATATTCTGAAACAGATTTCCTTGGGTCTTCATAACCCTTGGCCCAATTAATTTTGATGTACTTTACTATATGGTTAAACATTTCTTCTACCAATTATTTTACCTTTCTAGTTTTAGTTTAATTGGTATTCTTAAGAAAATAAATTTCATTCAAGATGCAGTGTATTGGCCTACTATGCTGAGTAGTATACAGTTCAAAATGTGCATGAGTGTTTGGTTTTGCTTGCAGTGCGTCTTTTTTTTGTTTTCGGTAAAAGTTAGTTGGAACACTCAAAAGCCCTGTAAATGGCAGGGCCTGATAAGTTAAAAGGTAAACGTAATATATGCTCACTTTAAAAACATAATTCTTTCATAATTTGTTTACAATTGTTATTTGTTTCATTTCAGAAATTACCAAGGAGAGCTGCCAAGAGTCAGTCTGGTTGCTTTATTCCCCGTCTCTCTGGCTGCAGCAAAAAATGCTGAGGAAGAAAAGGATCAAAATGAAACTGAACTAGTGATGATCCTGCGCAAGGGGATCCAAGCTCAAAATAAATCAGACTACAAAGCTGCAGATGAATTCTACCACGAAGCACTGCACTTTGTATACAAATTGCACAGGGAAGGCAAAATTGATGACAAAAGACTTCTTCATTTGCAGACTAATATATTTGATAAAATGGCTAACCTTGGTCTACTTAAAGGAGAATTTGACCATGCAGAGGTTTTATTCAAGGATACAATGAAAGGCATGTTACAGATGGGTCTGGATAAAACCGACAATGCTTTGGTTGAGATATCAGTGAAACTAGCTTCAATTTATGCCTCCAAACAGAAATTTGATGATGCAGAGCTAGGGTACCAGTTTTGTGTAGATACTATGGCGAAAAAAACTAAAGAACAAGGCTTGGATGCTGACTTGGACACAACACTTCTGTATGGCCTTTGCTTAGAGTCTCAGGCCAGATTCTGGGTGTATCAGAAAGAGTATGAAAAGGCTCTGGAAAACTATCACCTTGCTTTGGACATAGCAGCCAAATATCTACCATTAGATCATCCTCAGAAACTTGTCATTATGAATGATGTCTCCTCTTTGTATTACCTGAAAGGAGACATGACAACCGCAGAAAAATACATGGAGGAAGCACTAGACGTGGCCGAGGTGACCCAAGTCCCTGAACTCCCACAATTTTATTGTAATCAGGGATTAATCTTTGCTCAGTTGGGCAGGTTTGACGAAGCAGAGACATCTTGTAGAAAGGCACTGAAAGTTGCCAAAGACAGGGATGACCAAGAAAGTGTGAAGGAAGCATTGGATTGCTTGGCTGATGTGAGAAAAATGAAAAACTCGGTCAAATGAAAAGTCTGCAGCTTTTAGAATTATTTATTTGACTGCTTTGCATTTCATATGTTGTTGAAGATATATTCACCATGTCAATGTGTATATGTACATATCTGACCTAAGTTAGTCGTTTGTTTTTCGGTTTTTATTAAAGATCATATGTACATCAGTATAATAAAAAATTTACAAATGCACCACAAAATAAATTCAATCTTTTCTGAAATATATTACCAACTTTCACAAAAGGTTCATCTAAAATGCCTGTCATAGTGCCAGAAGACAAAATAAATCTGCGTTGTATCTAAGCACCTGATAATATTGTTCCAACGTGTTTTACATATAAATCTGACATAAAGCTGAACTTTAAAACAAAATTTGTTTAAAAAGTCTGCATTGTCAAAATGAACAAACAGTAAGTCTACCTGGACGGTCTGAAATCCACAATTAATATGTTGCTCACAATAAAGTTAAAATTGTTCTATAAAGCGATAAATAGAGTTCATATTGGCATTGTCAAATGTGATATAACCTTTACCCTGTGCACATAATAAAATTACCTGTGCATATAATAAAGTTATTATAAAAACTTTTATAAGTTAAAATATAATAGATAGATATGGGAAATGGAATGTTAAATACATTGTACATATCCTAGTGTAATAGATATACACAAAACACTTCAAGCAGTACAGTCTTACATACTTTCAGATCATATTATCCTTCAATATTTCCAATGTTTTCATTTGCATCAACTATAAGAAGGCTACAGAAGAATATATCTGTATATTTATATAAAATGCATGAACTTTTGTAAAGATAGGAGTATTAGAATTGTAAGATATTTGTAAATTTTCTATGTAAACTTTTAAAAAGGATTGTACAGCCAACATTTTCATAGCCAAGTTTCGGCTAAAAGTAAAATTTTGGACGGAAAAGTGCATTAATTCGGTATGGAAATGGAAATGTTCATGGCAGGCAGCATATTTCAATATGATACAAAAAGAAAGAAAAAAAAATCGGATCTCGAGTCGATAGAAATGAAAAATGGTCCCTCATTTAAGCTTGGTCTACTGGTGGTGTAACAATATTAAGATTATTACCACCTTTTCTTGTCTCAGCAGTGAGCTATGACTGTCCTCTTATCTATACATCAAAACCTTTAACTACATCATTAACAAAAGGCATGCTTGATATTCCTCCAGATGATTGTAGGTGCACAACTTGTACCAGTGTAAGGGACCTCTGTAGTTTGCACTGTCATACAAACATCTAGACCAATACAATGAGGAGTATTGCCATCTCATTATCAGGCATCTGAATGAATAATGGGGCAGAACAATGCCCATTTTTCAGCCCTCTCTGAGTCTTTGATAATGACTCGATCTTTTCAAGCAGGTAAAATTATGAATTTAATAGATACTGCAATTTTATTTAAGGCATTAATTCTTAGATTTGTGAGGCAGCTACAAAACGGAATAGCAGGCTACTCTGTAGTTCTCTTCCATACAATAAAAGCACCAAAAATTCTATAAAGAAACATTTTCAATAATGCTAAGATTATGTATCTTTAAGACTGATAATTAATCCCTCTTTAAAAGATTGAGTCACTACCATACTTCAGGTTGTCATATCAACTTCTCCTCCGTGTCTTCATCAAACATATCCTGCAGTGGAATGGACGGTCCATTCTGTTGTTCCTCCTTGGCTGGGTTGTAAGTTCCCTTCATCTTTCTCATCCGTCGTACCCGCCATAGGGCGTATATGAAGATCAGCGTGATGATGAGGATGGCAACAAACAGTGGCACCAGGACTATGACCAGGGAGGGGTCCTCCCCTGTGGAAGGCAGCTGGACTGGAGTTTCTTTTTCAAGTTCACAATATGTTCCTGGAATGAAATGGAAAAAGGTGCACATCATAGATTTTTTTCTTTCTGTGTGCTGCTTTATGATTACATCAATTCTAAATTGCAGTATATTTCAATGATATATTGATTTTTTTTTACTTGAATTTAATACTTTGGTTAGTTTTTCCACAGCAAATGATTCACATAAATATGTACGTCAATTAATTAACAATCTCATTGCAAGCAATCAACATGAAAATTATAAGAACACTAGTTTAAAACTTGCATTACACCTAAAAAAGCCCTCCAGGTGACACTATGAAATTTGAAGTAATAGTAATGTTCCATATTGAAAGTTTTTAATTTAATAAACTTTTAAAAGTTTTGGCAAATGAGTGGGAGTACAGAGGAAAGGATATATAAACAAGGCAGCATATTAAAGCTGTCAAAGGACAGACAAAACCAGAAAATAATGATGCAAAGTTATTTTGTCAATTTTGATACATTACAGCAAAATTACATCAAGTTTTAATTCTGCACAACAGGTAACATGAACAATAAAAATATAACTTCAGGCCCATGAGAGTTCAAATTCACACATTGAAAATCCAATATGTGACTAACCATGCTAATGCAAAAAAAAAAAAAAAAAAAAAAAAAAAACATTATCAAATGATTCAAAGCATAAAAAACATTTAACTATAAATACTATTGCTCAATGTGGAAATACAGAAAATGTTACTAGTACAAGGCTTCAGATGCATGGGAGTTTGAAGTCACATCTTCAAAATGTCAACATTTGAAAAATTAAGAAAAGGAAAACAAATTAACTTCGTCTACTTCAGACTCAGATGACTACATCTGTAAAAAGTAATAGTGTTCCCAAGTTATCTTTTTTAATTGGTAAATGATTTCATAATAATTCAACTAAAGGGAAACTAAAATTGCTCAAAATGCAGAGAATTGTTCAATTAAAAAAACTGATGGGCAGTGTGTTGCTGCCCATGGCTCATATCTCTCGTAGATTTGGGACACGTGGAATTATCTCTCATCCCATAGATAGCCCAGATCACCCAGATTAACCCTTGATCTTGTAACTTGACACACGATCTGTACACAAACCTAGCTGATGACCAGATACACTAAAGTGAAACAACAACATAGACTTTATTCTGCTGGAAAGCTTCAAAGAGAGAAATTCTCATACAAGTTTTGGAGTCTTTGGGTTGGCTGACAGTGTCCTTTGTTGCTGTGGCATCACTTGAAATTACACTTCTGAAGTAAGTCAGGTTATCAACATTTTCAAGTCAATGCCCATCAATGCTGATATTAGGTGGGTGGAAAAGAAACCTTAATGAAACCGGTTGTTATAATATCTTTAAGTTAATATAATATTCATGAACACCATTTGTCTCCAGGTAAAGTATGGTCATGTTGCTAATCTACTGTTTATATTTTATCACTAATAACATAAATTCACAACCTTCTGCATTGCCCAACATCAAATAAAACAACATGAAATGTACAGTAACTTTTGTGAATAGCAATAAATCACACTGTTTTTACATGTAGTAAGGAAAATACCTTTCAACCAAACAAAGATAATAAATTAATTTAAAATAAAGGAAAATGTGGTTTACAGACTGAAGGGTGAACAACAGATTGTAATGAACCTTTTACATATGCCTATGATGAATGTCCTAAACTTATATAATTTTGAACGCTTAATTCAAGCGTGGGCTCGAAATAGGACATTACGTTTTTGTCTAACTTAGTGGATAACGCAATCCAAAGATTCCCCGGTTCATGTCAGATTTACGTAAGGTCGCGCAAAGAAAACCCAAGTCCACATAATGACCAGTTAAATGATTTATTCGTTGACGCTAGGTAACTACATGATATTCTAAGCGCTTCGATCCATTAGACCTATCAGACCTGCACCCTGGAACCCAAGTAACTCTACAGCCAAGAGTGGTGGACCCTGCTGTTTTGCCGATGATTCCATTGAAAGACTATAGACTAAAAGACTCAAATCAATTTTAGACTTTAAAATATAAGGCGCTCGATTGCCCGGTTTCCAGAGCTATTTTTTTCCCTAAATTGATAAAGAAAGATATGAATTTAAGGGTTTTATCTCTGGTTTTCCTCCGGGCCTGTCTGTAACATGATCTTTTATTAGCGTGCTTAGCTTTGTATATATGTTGTAAATATAATGTAGAGTGAATGTCTCCAACGTGATAAATGAAAAAAAAATGTATTTTTTTTTCTGGTAAAAAGGGAAGGCGTGTAGTGTTCACAAATATAATTCCCAGACATGTAAATTAATTTGATTAGAGTCGATTGCTTGTGCACTCGACTCGTTTTATGGCCTTACCTGTAGTTATGTAACTTCAGTGGACGTGTGCAATTAGAATAATTAAAATTAATATGTACCGCCAAATACTGCAGCACCGAATCCACCTATAGATAAGAAATAGGTATAAAAGACGTCTAGAAATATTATCGGGGAGACTGAAGAAGACTTGAAGGAGACAGCTCGACGGAGCCATGGGAGACGGCCTTGAGCTGGGAGATTTCACGTAGATGATGTAGTTAGACAGAGTCAACCAATAAACCATTAAACTGGTCATTATGTGTACTTGGGTTTTCTTTGCGCGACCTTATGTAAATCTGACACGAACCGTGGAATTTTGAATTGCGTTATCCACTAAGTAAGTCTAAAACGTAATGTCCTATTTCGAGCCCACGCTTAAAATTAAGCGTACAAAATTATATAAGCTTAGGACATTCATCTCATATGTATATGTAAAGGTACATAACAAGATGTGCCACGTGGATATGAAGTGGATGTGAAATGTTATGAGTAACAGTTATAATGACAATTTTTTCTTTTTTTTCAGGAGATAAATGAAGAAAATTGTAGGAGTCATTATAGCCCTCTTAACTGTGGATTTCATGGGTTGCTTTTTGTGGTGGATGGGACAGCAACTTACTGGATCTCATAACGTACCTATCAAAGCAGCAACCAACTCAAGTGCGCATAATCCTGCTGTTCGTACATTAAATGCTAAAAATTCAACTTCTCCCAAAACAGAACACATTCTTAGAAATGTTACGAAAATCACTGCAGAATCAAAAATAATTTCAAACTTTAAGCCTAGGATGAACTCCAAGGATATGGGCATTATGATGCATTTACTCTCAGTTTTCACCAATGCTCTTGAAAAAGCAAATTTATCATATATGATGTATGGGGGGACTCTCCTGGGCGCCTACAGGCACCATGGCTTCATTCCATGGGATGACGACGTAGATTTGCTCATGAATGATGCAGACAGAAGGAAACTAAAGGCAGCCGTTTCTGCTCTTAGCCCCGACTATGTTTTGGTGGTCTCACAAAAGGTGCGTTGGAAATTTTTCAAGAATTCTTCAGAAATCATACCAAATGTGCAATGGAAATGGCCTTTTCTGGATATATGTTTTTACAAGGAGAATGCCATCCAAATTTGGGATGTTGATTCTCAATTTAAAAGACTATTTACATTTAAAAAGGAAGACATTTTCCCACTACAGGAAAGACCTTTTGAAAATATAACTTTACTGGCTCCAAAAAACATGGAAAAAGTATTAGCTAAGAGCTACAAACTATCTGTTTGTTCTACTAATACATACAACCATAAGTCTGAACATTTCACAGACAAGGTATTACAAGTAAGAATTGGATGTGACAAGCTATATTTGAAATTTCCATTTGTTTTCAGAGAACATTCTAAGAATGGTGTAAATGAGAGTCTTATGCTAGGTAATTCTCTATTAAAATGGCACTTTGTTAAAGAATAAAAGATAGAAAATTTATCACTGATGTTAAAAGACAGCTCATATCAACAAATGAACACATGCTTACTGAAATTCTTTGAAAGATTCTAAATAAACCAAAAGGTTGATAGTTCTGTGGTGATTAAAACTGAATATTTTGTTTGAAAAGTTTTCTATGGTTTTTTAATATTAGAAATGACTAGCATAATCACCACCAATTTTTAATGATGCGCTAGTAAACTGGACATTTAGGGCCATGAGATTTCAGTCACATACTGAAAATGTCAATATTTGAAGAATTTTACTCTCACAAACAAACAAAAATGCATTACTTCAACAAAAAGTTCACCCATTTTCCACTTTATGTGTTATCTGTAATGCATATATGCTGCAAAAAAAGCCCCCCCCCCCCCCCCCACACACACACACACAAAAAAAGTATTACTTTTGGAAAAATGATTTTTGATCTCTAATGGTATTTGATGACTATTCATCAGTTCTGTGAGTTTGAAAACAATAGGTCAAATGGTTTTCCACTTAATGTGTTATCACTGTTACAAGTGAACAGTGACAGGGTCGGTGATGACAGAAACAGGTGATGGCTATGTGTACAAACATGATGCGTCTGTACATAAAAACCCCAACTACGTAGCAAAACTTATTTACTACAATCAACAAAATGACAACTTTACCATAATATGGTGCTGGACAGCTGCATGAGAAGTTTCCTGGCCTGTTGACACAGGTGCCACCATTCCGACAAGAACTAAAGCCTGCTTCATCACATTCATTGATATCACTCTCACAAGAGATACCTAAATCAAATACAAGTTACAATAAGATTTAAGGGCATTAGGGAAAATACTGGTGTAAAACACTGAACAGATTTTGACTGCTTATTTTCTCTTTATGCTCAAAGCCAATTTCAAGTTAATCATCTATTCAAGGCACTGTATCCAAGTGAAGTTTTCATCAAAACACGGCAAATTTCAGTAGAAAACAAAATTCAGTTCCAAGTTCTGACACATGCACCAAATGTTTAATCAAAAGTCACAGACTCTGAATGAAACATTCCTACATTTGTAAATGACTATAAAACAAAAACTAGTTTCAACTACTATACTAACCTTGATACCCAGTTCCTGAACAGTCACAAACAAACTTATTGAGCTGGTTGTTACAGATCGCCCCGTGTTGACAGGGTGTGCTGGCACACTCATCTATGTCCTGACCACAGGTGAGCCCCGTGTAACCCGGGGTGCAAACACACCAACTGGACCCTGGTCGGTTCTGGCAGGTTCCTTGCAAAAATAAGATATTAACATTAATTTTTTTTCAAGTCACAATGATAAGAAAGATATCACACCAATTTCAATGTTGTTTACTGGGGGATAAACTAAACTCAATGACAATGACAGCCATTTTATATATAACTTTAAAGTGGCCACTGTAACAGGCTACAAAATACAAAATCTGTAAATTACTGTCTGCTACATACCATATTACTCATTATTATACTTAAAATCATAAAGAGGGAAAGCCATGACTTTCTCTTCACTAACCTCCATTAAGACAGGTCAGAATACCGTCACACTCGTTGATATCCAGTTCACAGTGCGTGCCCTCATATCCAGTCCCTGTACAATTACATACATATCCACCATCTAGGTTTGTACACTGGCTGCTGTGAAGGCAGGACTCTGGGAACAGACACTCATTCACATCAGACTGGCACAAGTTACCCTCATACCCAGTGCTGGTACAGTCACACTGGAAAGACCTCGCCCGGATGGAACAGCTTGGATTTCTCCTGCATTCCACCACCTGGCATGCCTCATCGTGCCAACCACAATTCTGGACTATAGATGTCTCTAGTTGTACGTTGTCAGGACAAGCACACATGCCCACATAGGCACATGTGCCGTTGTTCAAACATGGCTGACTGTAACAGGAGTCGATTCTTTCTGAGCAAAAGAAATCCCCTCCAAAGCCTGGTCTACAGTTACACGTGTAGTTGTTGACTAGGTCCACACAACTGGCACCATTCTGGCAAAGGTGTCCTCTGCAGTCATCTATGTCAGTTTGGCACAGCTGCCCAGTGTAGCCAACTGCACACAAACACTGGTATGTCTTGTCCATGTCCTCCTGACAGGTGGCGCCATTAAAACATGGTCCAGACGAACAGCCTCTTTTGTCCATTTCGCAGTGCGTGCCCTCGTAACCAAGAACACAATCACATCTGTAAGAATTTATCTGATCCACGCAAGTTCCAGAGTTCAGGCATGGATTACTGCCACACTCATTCACTTCTAACTGACACAGTTCTCCATAATAACCACTGGCACAACTGCAGCTGAATCCAGAAAAGAACTGATCCCTGGGTAACTGAGTGCTTTCAATACAAGTAGCACCATTCTGACAGGGGTTTGACCTACATTCATCAATGTCAAGGTCACATAATGACCCAGTGTAACCTGGTAAACACTGGCAAGTGAAGTTTTGCTCTGGATTGCTCATATCAAACCAACAGCTCCCACCATTCAAACAAGGATTGGTTTCACATTTATCGATGGGTGTGTCGCAAGTGCTACCCTCGTAATGGATGGTGCAGTCACAGGTGAATGTATCTGGCTGGTTGCTACACGTGGCCCCATTCTGGCAAGGTGACGATAGACAGAAATCTACAAACTCACACCTGTTTCCATAGAAACCTGTGGCACAAGTACAGTTGTAATCTCCACCATTGATAACACAGGAGGCATTGTTCTGGCACTGATGGTTGTAACAGGAGTTGTATGTCTCACACTGGAGTCCTAAATATCTCTCAGTACATGTGCATGTAAAGTCAGTGTTATTTTCTCCATTGAAACAACTGGCACCATTAAAACACGGTTGTGAAGCACAGATCCTGGTGTTCTCGCAATGAACCCCAAAATGATCCACGTCGCATGCACATGAATAGCCATTAACACGATCCATGCATGTCCCATTGTGGGAACATGGCATGCTCATGCACTCATCTATATTTAAAGTGCAGTTTTTCCCAGTCCAGCCTGGTTTGCAGTCACAGGTGTAGTCCACTGGGAAAACAGAGTTGCACTGTAATGTATTGTTTTCATGACAAGGAGAGAAGTCACACATCTCAATAACCTGCTCGCAGAATCGCCCTGTGTAACCATGTGCACACACACAGGTATACTCCATGTGACCATCTACGCATGTCGCTCCATTCGAGCATGAATTGTTCACGCAGTCGTTAATACTGAGAGAACAACCCATCCCCTCCCACCCCTCCAGACAGGGACACTGATATGCATTCCATGTGTCGAGACAGAACGAGTTAGCAGGACAACGATTTGGTTGGCAGACATCGTCACCAATGCAGCCCGTCCTCAGATTGTGATTTAATGAATGGACACCGTCTTGTTGGCTGTTAGACTGAAGGTAACGCACATGTTGCTGGTTGAATGTGATGCCTCTTATGCAACCTTTGTACCAGCCAACTAGCAAGCTTGTGTCACCTGATGATGAAATGCCAATAATTATATCAAATAATATGCAATCCTTTCAGATATTGGTTACTGAAAGTCAGTATTTTATCTAAAGTAGTCTTTTCAACAAAGACATTCTTTGTTATGGAAATAATAAAATACCACATAATCAATTATAAATTTTATATTCTAGGCAAAGAAGACTACCTTACATCTTTCACCACATACTTACACAGCTCTTAATAATGCAACAGAATTGGGTGCATGCCACTTACAAAAGACATTTTCTTTATTGTAATTAATGTTTTCTATTTAAGGTATTGTTGGGCTCACTCTAGAATAAATTTTCCACAAACTTTATGGATAACTGTAGTCAAATAAAAGATTTGAACTAAATCAAAAATGAACCAATTTTCATTTTCCTTTAGCTAAATTACAATATGTTTTGCATCTGGCCTACATTTATTGTGCTAGGGTTGCAACATCACCTATCATATTGCTCATTCAACACATTAAAAATGACATTTCATTTATATGTTGAAATAAAAACACTTACCAGGCTGGAAAGGTTTTGTTCCTAAGAACACAGTCACAGTGTGGTTCCTGTTGGACTGATGAAAGGTAAAAGGTGTCTGGAGTAACAGGGAACTGTTACCGTGGGAACTGTTTCCAAGGGAACTGTTTCTAAGGGTAACTGAGATCCCTAAGGGTTGTTGTGCCCAGGTCACTCTGTGCCATGTACCATCAGATACTCGAGATGGTAAAGTTAGACTCAATACTGAAATATAATTCACAAATATGTCAATAAAAAATTCTGGTAAAAAGGAAGACATTTTTGAAGGTCACTTGTACAATAGAGGTGTCAGTATTACATATAAATATCTATACTATATGCACTCAAAAAGAGTAGACACAATAAATTTGGGCAGTTGAGCCCTATAAGAAAATTAACAAATTTTGTACAATGATTTTGATTGAAAGACTTTGATCAAAAATTATGCGCACATACATAATCAAGAAACTCTTGTTTTCATAACAGTATTGTGAAGAAAGGGCAAAGAAATTTTTTGTTACAAGAATGCTATAACATCAGCATATCACACTCAAGTATTACCTTTGAATAAAGTCACACATACCTATCCCACTATACACTGTCTCCATTTGCAACTGTTGTTTGAAAATCCTGAACTCGAGACTATCAACTGGTGACCCAGATGTATCATATAACTGTATGTAGAGGAGGGTGCCATTGGCTCTGCTACGAAACTCAAAACTCCCACTGTCTCCAAATACAATCTGCATAGTGTCCACTGTAATCTCTGCATAACTGGTCATTCCATTGAATGTGGATGCAGACACTGAAGGAAAATTCAGTATTTGTAAACTTAAGGTTTGGTGAAATTAATATTATTAATAAGCAATTTTACAAAACAGCAAATGTTAGAACTATCAATAAGTAACGGTTAACAGGCTCACTCAATAGTCACATGCATTGATAGTTTTACTTGAGCAGTAATACTCCAAGAGATATATTCATCAAATATTTTATATCTGATGAAGGTAATTTTAAGCAAATTCTATGACATAATTTTCTAGTCATCTACACTATGTTTAATATCTGATCCAACACTTTCATTATATCCAATATCAGTTTATGTAAAAAAAATCTGCAATTCTTCCTTACCCTGTGTACAGTTTTCTCCAAAGTAATCTTGATAGCAAGAGCAGGTATACCCTTGCCAGCCTGATCTACAGACTCCCCTGGCTCCACAGGGTGCAGTATTACAGTGGACATCCCTGGGGCATCCTGGCATGGCTTGAGGAGGGTCATTCCTCAGAGAGGACGGTGAGGCACTGGCCAAATTTATCAGCTGGTTGTTGATGGTCAAATTTCTTATGCAACCATAGAAGCTGAAAAAGTTCAATTTATTATTTTAAAAATACAACATATTTTGTTTCATTTCCTAGTCTTAAAATAAATGACCTTTGATAGGAAATTTTATCTTGAGTTTATTACAAACCAGACAAAAATTCTATGTAAGTAAGTGATGCCCACATGCACCATTTCAACATCAATACTGTCACCTTTTATAATCTACTTTCTGTAGAATCAGCACACTAGCAGCAAGGCTTTTTTTAAATATACACCATATATGAGAGAGAGAAAATCATGCCATATATATATATATTATCATATTACCTGGCATGAGAGGTCAGAGGTATTGGTCTGTTTCTCCAGATGTTAAGAGCAGAGTCCAGGTGTAACTGACCAAGGAATAGAGGGTACTGCACCTGGACATTACTGGCTGACTGACTGTCTGTGGACACCTGACCGGTTTCTTCATTTGTGACTAAAAATACAGAACAGTATTTTTTTAAATATCAGTTCATTATATGCTTATAAAACATTTGGCCCAGAATTTTTTTTTTTTTTTTTGCTTTCGTATTTCTTTGTGGTATGATCATGGATGGAAATAGAAAATGCTACAAAAAAGACAAAAACAAAGAAGGAAAACTTCCCTCTTATTTTAACTTTTCTCCACTTCTGACTTTTTTACACAAAGTCCACCAACATCCAAAACTTTCATCTATGCATTAAAAACTTATCCATCAAATGGGTGAAAAAACCCATCCCATCAAATCCTAGCTTTACTGACCTTGCACGGTAAGTTGGGTCTTTGTGAAAGTCGTCTGGACTTGGTACCAGTTCCCGGTGCTGATATTCTGGCCTACATAAGACACCACATCACCACCAATCACCACCACATGAACTCTTAATGCACCGTTGTCTAGGAGAAAGGCCACCAAGGCACTGCCACTAAGCTAAACAAAAATATAATAATGCAATTCCAAAAGGTTTTTTCTATGATTTACATTGTAACAATAATTAATTATCCATATTGAGACAAAAAATGTTTGTACAACAAATTTTGAAATTTTCTATTTGTTGTATACCTCTTCTAATGCTATTTGTTAGTGTATCAAATTATTCATGTTGAGTCAAAAACGTTGTGTCACAAATATCTGTTAACTAATTTTCTATTTGCTGTGTAACCTCTTCTAATGATACTGTTTACTGATATATATTACAAAGATTTCTGGTATTCTGTCATCATATTATGTCAGTCTTTGTCCAACTCACTGTGTAAAATATAAGACCATCTGGCTGGGTGGAAGTCAGTCCAAATTTGACCTGAGTAATGGAAGCTGATGGTGAGGATGACGGGATGTGGAGGAAGGACTCTCCTGTGAAATGTGCTGTTGTCTGCAACTCACATCTCTCGCCTGAAAGTATGATACAAGAGGGAGGTCATGAACAGCAGGAAAACATATAAATATTATAAGACACCCAGCTGAGATCAAATATGCACTTGTATGCATTTCTAAACTTGCAATTTCTGTCAATAGAGGATTGTTATGACATAATTTCATGAAGTCTTCACTCAGGCAAACTGTCATTGACCAGCCGAAGTCTTCAGGAATATGAAGCATTGTTGTCTGGGTTATAATAATAATCTATATACAAATACTGTCTTGTGAACAGTTAAATAACAAAAATTATATGACATCCAGCTGGGATCAAATATAACCAGGTATGAATGCATTTCTGGACTTACAATGTCTGCTGATTACAATGACAAAGCTGCATTGAGTCATCACCCAGATGAACCATCAGCCAAAACCCTCATGAAGAGGACACAATTAATACACATTGTCTCAGTCAAAGTATACATCTATATACAGAATCTATCTCACCTTGGAAGCCATCCAGACACTGGCAAGTGGTGTGAGTCCATTGGTCCACACATTGTCCACCATTTAAACAGCTGGCAGGTGTGCAGTAGCCAGGGGTCAAGCACCCTGGACTTGGGTCATCAGCCTGGACTGGGACACCCACTGGCATCAGGTTCACGGCATTGTTATTGATGGAGAAGTTCTGTAAAACAGAGCATCGTATAAAATCTAAAATAAAGTAATAACAATAGCAAAGATAAAATTCAATATACTCCAAAAATTTCATGAGGCTATCAAGCTTCACATCATTTTTGTATATTGCACCGAGAGAATTAAAACTTACCCCTAAACAACCTCTGAAGCCATCGTGTCCACTCAGTACAGTTTTGGAATATGGTGTCACAGTGGGTAGTCCGCCTAGGAACAGGTCACCTGACAGGTTTACATCTGCATTCTGATTGGTCCCAGATGAAGCTGTCGCAAAACACCCAGTTCCCACAATGCAACTTTCTGGGTCAACTGTTATGTTCAGGTGGCCACTTCCTAAGGCAAGCTGTATATGAGGCTGAAGTAGACCCTGACCTTGGGATGTGGGGGATATCCTCAATGTGGCTTTAGCAGTTAGCATTCCAAATGTCACAGATGCTACAAGATCACCCTGGTAAAGTTCCACTGCAAGATGTTGTGGCTTTCCTTCACTGTTGTACTGAAATGTCAAAATTGTCATAAATTTTGTTCAGAAATATATAGTACAATGGCTTTTATGGATTATTGGAATGATAAGATGCTACAGCTGTTTCAATCAAGAAATTGTGGTTATCATGGTCAAAATAGATGTGGCACAAAAAATATAGGATGTAGACAGAGAATGTGTTTTGTGTTACCCTGTCAGAATAGATTATTTATCATCATATACGCAGGTATTCGGCTGTTTTTTACTATTATTATCAATTGGTTTATTTTTCTGATATTCTTCAAATCTATATCAAAATGTACAGATCATTTCATTTCTTACCCATGTTGTCCATAGCAATACACCACTGTTAACAGAAGTGAAGAAATCAAAGTCAATAACGACATCTCCAATTTCAGAGTTCCTCTTTTTTCTAATGGAATTCTGAGCATATTCTTGAATTGGTTGGAGTTGCAAGACATTTGTACCCTGGAAGGTGGCTGTCCTGACAAAGTCACAAGTGGCTCCATCTATCCCACTGATGCAAGCACAGGTGTATGCTGCCGGGGTGGGTTCCAAGCAAGTTGCTTCATGTAGACAAGGCGAGGAAAGGCATTCCTGGATGTCATGACTGCAGTTGCGACCTATAAATCAAGGAGAGCTTTTTCTCTGTAGAGAATGTTTGATTTTAATAATAAAATGTCAAGGTTTGATATAAAAAGGATATTATATCAGGCATAATCCTTACAACTTTCACTCATAATCTACCTAATGTCTTTCTAAGTTACCTGAGAACCCAGCAGCACAGATACAGTGGTAATCATTGACTTCATCTGTACATGATGCACCATTCAAACAAGGCATGGGATCACAGTCGTCTATATTCACTGCACAGGTTGCACCTGGAAGTATGAAAAAGTGACTATAAAGAGTGATTAAAATTCCATTTGGTTCGCAAATGATTTGACATTTAAAGACTATGCATTAACTTTTAAAACTGAATGGTCAGAGTTAAAAATATTCCAAATCACGGCATTGTAGGTTTGTGCGAGGGCCAAATACTTATTTCGTAGATCTTCCAACATACTAAATCTGTAATGTTCCTAAGTTTCAATTTATTTTTTTTCAATAAGGCTTAATAAGTGATGGCAGTTTTAAATCAATTACCAATTATCAAGAAATTACTTCTGCTGACATTTAAATTTTTATTTAGACAAATTATTATATTTCCTGGTCCAATTGACCAGAGAGCTGAAAAGTTCAAGTTGCTGACTGAATTGTTCTACAAAATCAAATAATGTCATCGACAATACCTATGGGAATTCTATGTAGATCGTACCAACTCCACTAGGACTCTCACTGAATGCAATCAGATTAACACGCCTCCTCCTGTTTCCAACATCCTCATATGATCACCAGTTTTTCTGTATTCTACTCAATGCCAGGAGGAGGCTTGTTAATCATATAGCATTTAGCAACGAGTCTCCACAGAGTTGGATCGATCTACATAAAACAACAGTTTCAGTGGGAGTGAGCTCTACCTGTCCACCCGGCAGCACAAGTACAAGTGAAGTTGTTCACCAGATCCAGACATGTGGCCCCATTGTGACACGGACTCAGCAACTCACACTCATTGACATCCACAGAACAGTTCTTCCCTAAAAGTATAATACTATAGATTATTTCAAGTTTTTTCATCATCTTTAAAAAATACTCTTAATTTAAATATATTTAAATTCTACAAATGTATTCCCTTAAAGTTGAAATATGTGACTTAAACTACTGCTGACCTGCGATCTTCAAAATGACTCATTTAGGGTCATATCTTTTTGTTGATGCCCCCCTCCCCAAATTCCTTCATCCAAAATAAATCTAGCCAATGGACAAAAATCTTTTGAATAAAGCTATAAAAATGGTGTCACATGAACAAACAAGCATTAAGGGATAGAATTCGGACTATTACCAGTCCATCCAGGTAAACAAACACAGGTGTAGTCATCTATTTCATCCACACAGGTGGCTTCATTTAGACAGGGCTGTGGAGAGCAGTCATCTATATTAACACTACAGTTGATGCCCGTGAACCCGCTTGGGCAGGTACAAGTGTACCCATTAATGACATCATGGCAGGTAGCATTGTTCTGACATGGCTGGTACACCTGACATTCGTCTATCTCCGTGCCACAATTTACATCTGTGAATTTAAGATAAAGAAAAAAAATCATTAAAAGTATTATTTCATATTTTTACCAAAACATGTAATCATAAAATAGTTCATCTTACCAGGGAAAATAAAATTGTTATAAAAATAGACATATACTTATGTACTTTTTTGGAAAGGTTTTGTGTTACAATAATTGGTCCAAGTAAGACACTCTCTTCCAATTTTCTAGAGCTATTTAAATTGAACAATTTATACAATAAATTTGATTCTATACAAAGTTCCTTTTGGTAATAATTAATAAAACTTGGCCAACATGAAAAGCACTGTAGCCCAATTACAAACTTAACAACTTTTTGCATTTATAAATCTGCTTTTCATAACATGAAAACTATCCATTTTGATCCTTATTTAAGTTAGCAACCCTGTTAATCACATCTTACCTGTGTATCCATGTTCACACATACACATGTATCTGCCCACCAGGTCCACACAGCTAGCATTGTTTCTACAGGGTGAAGAAAGGCACTCCTGTATTTCAGTCTCACAGTGTAACCCAGTATAGCCTGAAAAACAATGAGATGATTATAATCCAGAACACCACTCATAAATCCTATGGTGTTTATAATATATTTGTGTAAAAAGCAAAAAAGTAAAATGCATAAAATGTATGTATAAAAAGCAAAATAAAAAAATAATTAAATACATATATGCAAACTGGTGAAAAGAAAGACATTATCCTGTATCAATAAAAACATCATTCATTTAAAGCTTTTAGAAAATAATTCCATTCTTACTCACAATAATTTTATTATCATTTTCAGTCTTTTATTAATAAATCTGTTTTAACGAAAACATCTCAAATCCATTTTTGTTCTAATTTTGTAAGTAATTGCCTTACCTAGCATACAACTGCAGGAATAATCTTGTCCTATATGTTCAATACAGGAGGCATTATTAAGGCACGGCTGTGTGGCGCACTCTAACACGTCACTCTCGCAGTCCTGACCAGTCCAGTACGGACCACACAGACACAGATAGCCGCCATCTTGGTTGATGCAGTGGCCATCATTTTGACAGGGGTTGAGTGAAAGGCACTCATTGACGTCAAGCTCACATCTGCTGCCAGACCAACTTGGAGGACAGTTACAAGATATACCTGAAACAAAGGGAAGAGTTATTGTCTAGCACTGAATGATATAAAATTAAAATTTTTACATGCAAAAATATCTAGAAAATGTTAAGAAAAATTGGCCATGAAAGTCACTCACCGTCCACATGGAAGTTACCAAGTTGCGACTTGATTCTTACATCATAATATTACAATTTGCAATATTTTGCATTATTATATGGAAATGATACTTTGAAAAAAAAGAAACCTCTGATTTTTCTTATAACATACTTTCCCAATAAAATGTTCTTGTACAAAAAAAAAATACAGCTTAATTAAAGTTATCATACTGTATATCTGGACTTACCAGCCATCCCTTGGACACAAGAGCCATTATGAAGGCAGGGGTTGTGAGTACAGCTCTGGGAGTCTATCTGGCAATACATCCCACTGTATCTACTAGGACAGCGGCACTGAAATCCTGCCTGGCCGTTGGTGTTCTCAAAACACAACCCTCCATTTCTGCATGGCTGTGACAGGCAGTCGTACACATCCCCCTCACAGCGCTCACCTGTATGGAAATGTGGTTAATTTAGACTCACCACAGCATATAGAATCCTATACTAAATGCTGAAGATAATTTTATTGTACCTATAAAGAGTGACATGTATCTTTGACTATTTTGTTTATTTATCTCCATTTTGATATAAAATATTAATTTTGTTAATTTTTAAGCTGTTGATAAAATTTAAATGAAATTTAAGATTCAAATTGAAATTCAGAGATCCACTCACCAATAAAACCCTGAACACAAGCACATGTGTATCCAGTGTCCTGAGAACTGTCCGCAGTGCAGTTGCCATAGTGAAGACAGGGGTTGGGCACACATGGATCAGTGCTGATCTCACAGTTAATGCCATCATATGGATACACACACTGGCACCTATAGCCACTCCCACTTGGCTGACAAGTCCCGCCTTGCTGACATGGATTGCTATGGCAACTGTCAATGTGGGACTCACACTGTTGACCTGTCATACCTTCTGCACACTGACATCTAACATAAATTGGGGAAAATGTGCAATCATGTATTACAATAAAGCTAGACAATTAAGGTTCAATCAAAACTGGTTAAAATTCATACAGAAACAACCTGACAGATATCAATATATTTTCTGATAAATGTAAAATTTCTAACATTTTCCTTTGCTGAATTAGAATATGCTTAGCATCTGGCTAATTTTTTTAAAAACCTTCAACTATTCCAATGGAATCAAATGGCACATTTTCAAATAAAAATGTTTTATTCTAAATTGCTGTCTATGAGAAACATGATCTGTTACAGTGACAAATGGGTCTATGGGACTGAGGGTTTACCCTTGCCAAAATAATAAAACAATATTCTTACATTATTTAAAATTTTACCATAAACCATCATTTACCTGTATCCATTCACCAAATCCACACATATCTGATAACTCTGGCATGGGTTGGAGGCACAATCATCGATGTTCTGTTCACAATTTCTGCCCATGAACCCTTGCTGACATCTACACACATACTGGTCAATGGGGGGATCCAGGCACTGGGCATTGTTCAAGCAGGGTCCACTGGCACACTCATCTATGTCTATTTCACAGTTACGCCCAGTGTAGCCTTAGTACAAAAAGTACAATATTAATGATATCAATGACAAAATAATACAACTTATACAAAATACATCAACACTTTAAGTTAGATTTATGAGTATTACATTAGTTGTATAACAATTTTGAGTGCTGTACAATAAATCTGGTGCTGGACATGGAGATTTTCCAAAATGTTTAAGATAAGAAAGCAATGAAGAATAATTAGAGTTAAGCACCTAACAAAGAAACCCACAATGGTTGGTTTGTTGATGGATTCTATAAATAATTATGCATTCAATAAACAATACTACTGTTAATTCCTATGATTTGAATATGGCACATACAAAAGATTCAGCATGTGATATCTTATTCACTACAAAAAACACTAGAAGAATTTTGCTTGGAACAAGCACACTTCACTCACTAGAATAAATAGTAACAAGGCAGCAAAGCTGTCAAATGTACAGACAAAAAGCAGAAAATAATAATGCAAAAAATAGACTACTGTCAATTCTGATGCAATGAAATATTATACTTAACTGCAAAGTCAACATAAAATCTTAATTATGCACAACAGGTAATACCAATATAAGTAAAATGTGTAACAAGCATAAGGCTTCAGGCCCATGAGAGTCCAAGTTCACACTTTGAAAATGCCAGAATGAGAAATATGAAAATTTCACAAAAAAATGCATAAAATCAAGAAAAAATTATAATCCAATAGAGCTGGTTTTCTAATTTGAGCTGCATGTCAATCCTAAGAATCATTCTTGTAAGTTAAAAAAAGTAACCCAGTTTTCTTTTCATAACATTTGTGGTGGCAGCTAGTACACAAAGTGGGTTTTTGTCAATTTTGATGAAATATTACATAGTGATTAATGGTATAACCACCACATCTGTGTCCTGCAGACATGGTTCTATTTATTTAACTTGAGCTCAAGGTAAAAAGAACACAACTGTGTCACTAGACTCGGATTTTTTTAACAGTTAATAATGATAATGAAAAAAAGTGTGTGCACATGCTTCTCTCTCTCTTTCCCTCTCTCTCTGTATATATATCACAAAAAATCCCTAAAATATAAATGTACTGGCCATTAAAACTGGGTAGTTTTCTTTCACACAAAGAAAGGCAGAAATACCTGCATTCATAACTCTATTTCAGTAACATGAACTTAAGAGTAAACATAATACAGCTTAGTCACCAGTCAACACACAATGGTTCTTCCTTTTGTCCTCAAAGCTGCTTTGTTGAGGTCAGAGCCAGGTTATAAAAGTCAGCATATTTTTCTCCTACTTTGAGCAGTTCTAGAAGAGAAAGGAAGAAACAGGACGCGTATTTCATTTTAAAAACAGTTGTGATAAATATTACAGTAAGCCTGTTAAAGAGTGGATGTAGTACTAGTAACACAGCCACATCTAATTGTGATCTGTTGATCAAACTCGAGCATTTGGAAGTGAATAGAGAAACTGAGCATTGTGACCGAGTTTTTAGACTGAATTATTCAATACCAAAGACAACAAAACCAGCTCAATCATTCTTTGTAAACTAACAAAGAGACGGTCATACATGGCAGAAGCACTAGCAGCAGATATCGAAGAGAATATCTTGACATGTAGCATCTGTCTGGGAAAGTATGAGGACCCCCATGTGCTGCCTTGCCACCATACATTTTGCTACGGTTGTATATGTGACCATGCTAAGCGCAACCTGACTCCAAATAGGACATTTCTTTGTCCTATTTGTAAAGAACAGGTCCAGTTTCCAGATGGTGGACTTACTCAGCTGAAAAAGAACTTTTCCTTCTGCAGGACCAAGGAAATCAAAGCCCAGGAACGAGCTAGATGGACATTAGAAGAGGAACAGGTCAATGTAGCAGCGGTGGCACAGGCCATTGCACAGATGGCCATCAGCTGTGAGAAACATGCAAATAAAGAATTAAAATACTACTGTGAAGATGACGATACTGTTATATGTGGCCAGTGTATAGCAACAGAACATGGTGGACATCGTATTTCAGCAGTTGACACAGTTGCAAAAAGCAAAAGAGAAGAAATTAAAGCTGCTCTTGATAAAATGATGAAAATGGACAACAAGTTTAAAAAGGCACTTGCTATGGGAACAGCCAATGAAACAGAGGACTCTTATATTATGACAGTCACTATCAATAACATAAAAGAACAAGCTCAGAGTATGCACAAATTCATTGATCAGAGAGAAGAGACACTAATATCAGAAGTGAATTCCGCTTACAATATCAGAAAGAAGCAAAAGGAGGCAAAAAAGAACATTCTTGAATCCCACCATGACTCCTTGCACAGTGCCTGTGACTTTGCCCAGCAACTCTTGACAAATGGCACTAACTCTGATATCATGGTTCATGCAAAATCTCTGATAGAAAGACTTGCAATGATAGACAAAACACCGGTCCCGACTCCAGACACACCAGCACAGATATCATACAGTCCAGGTAAGATATCTACTGCTGGGCTGGAAGCCATGTTAGGACAGGTTATGGTGCCGTCACAGCCTTCATTAGCTGGACAGGAAACAAATCCACGATCACCACCATATCCGCCTGTTTTCTTAGAGAAGGCAAAGTGTGTGCATTCCTTCAGTACTAAGCTGGTATATGACAGAGCAAATGACATTAACGGGTTAGCCATAGATGACGAACAAATATTTGTTGTGGATAATGGCGCTGAAAGCACAAAAATATTCACAGATGTTGGGGGTTTCAAGTATGGTATTAAAATAAACAGAGTATCTGATATAGCTGTATCACAGACTGGTCACCTGTATATAACATCATGGGGTGACAAATGTGTCAAAGTGTACTCCAACAGAGGTCGGCAGGTGACAACCATGGGTCAGGATCAACTGGAGATGCCACTGGGTATTACACTAAACAGACAAGGTGATGTGATGGTTTGTGACAAAAGAAGAAAATCCATCTTCACATTCCATGCAGATAGTGGACAGCTCCTGAACACTATTCCACTCAGTATGAGTGGAAGCCCACAGAACATCACAGTGAACAGTGTGAATGACAACATTGTGATATCAGACCCAGGCTGGAATAAGCACTGTGTACATGTGCTGTCACCTACTGGTGATCAGCTGTACCAGTATGGCAGCGGAGGTAGTGGTGATGGTCAGCTGATGTCACCACAGGGAGTGTGTACAGACAGCTATGGTCACATCTTTATTGCTGACTGTCTTAACCACAGGATAGTGGCACTGAGTCCACAAGGACAGTTTATCAGATACATTGCCACCATGGTTGATGAGTTGAAGCGTCCAACAGCGTTAGCCATGAACCCCATTGGCCACCTGGTGGTGGCAGAGGCAGAGGGACAAATTAAAACATTTCAGTGCTTCCAATAAATACTGATCACATTGTACACTCATGAAAATATATCACAATACTGATATTTATAAAATCCTTATGTTGCCACTGATTGTGATGATAAATTGTGGGAACCACAACATAAGGTATAGTTAGTTTACTGAGAAGCTGTGATAGCAGAGTGTAAGAGAAACTATTCTGATTTATATCATAATACTGTTTTTATTTAATACCATTACAGTGTATTTGAAAGTACATTATTCATCTTTTCTTAATTCTGTACTTTACAGAAATGTTTTATTTTCATTTCAAATACATGAAAAGTCTGAGTTATGTATAATTTTTTTTTTATCTAAGCAATGTATGGACGTAGCTGCACATGTTTATTTAAATCAGCCTTTACGGGAACTGGTGAGAGTTATTAATTGCGCCGAGGAAAATGCAGAAAAAAAATACAGAAAATGTCACTCATACAGAACTTCAGGTGGATTAGAGTAAAAAGTCACATATTTAAAATGCCTGTGTTTGAAAATTGAAAAATTGAAAAAGGAAACAACAGAAGTATTCCAATGAAGCTGCTATTCAATCTAGCTGTATTAACATGATATCAATCACCCCATTGAGTTTGAGGATAATAAGGCACTGTTATTCATCTATTAATGTTGGAAGTACACAAAATACTTTTTTTTTGGTAAATTTAATTTCAATATCATATATTTCTAATTATGAGACACTGTTAATTTAGACTTTCAGAAACTGTATCTGGCAGAGAACTAAACCTATGGGAGTTAAGGTCACACCTTGAAAATCTCAACATGTGTGTTTTATGTAATCTCATTTATTAGCCACTTCAGACTTTTAAGTTAAAACTAGGGAAGCAACTTTATGGGCGGCCAAAAGGGCAAAATTTCATGTCATCGATTCAGTTATGTTTCGTCGATTCACTGCCTTCCCATCGATTCAGTTTCAAGTTTAAACGATCCTGTCATACATTCAACATCTACTTTCGTCAATTCAATTGTCAAACATTTCTCATCTACGGTGTATTAAAACCAAAGCTCTAACGATTTTCGTTGATCCTCTAATCTCATCGATCGTCCAACTATTCTTGTCGATCAATCGCCAGAGGGCGCTGCAGTAGCAACACGTGCTTCTGTCTGTCAATCACACAGTAATTTTTACCTTAACTCGGCCAGTCATGGTCAGAGTTGAAAACAACTAGAAAATAATGTCCCTACAACTGAATAGATTTTAATTATTAACAATTAAAATTGAAATTGTTGAGAAAATTTTCTTATTTCACCAGCAATCCAGAAATTAATTACACCTTTGGAAGAAACTGGCTCGCGCTGCCCGTAATTACACCGTGGGGTATTCAGGGCACAGACCGTGATCAAAAGATACCATAAATAGATTTTTAGATTTTTAGAAAATAGATTTTTCATGTGAATGCAGCCTAACTTTTGAAAAAATGGCCTGATCATGCTGATTTTCAAACTTGACCTGTATATTCAGAACATTCATCAGTTCTGTAAGTTTGAAATCAAAAGCTTAAACAGTTTTCCACTTTTCGTGTTATCACTGAAAGTGCACGGCAATGGCAACGACAGATGTAGGTGACGGCTATATGTACAGACATCTGTGTCTGTACATAAAAATGATAAAAAGGACAGTACTGTAGTAACTTCTTAATAGTATATAAACAGGTTTTGAATACAAACCTGGTATACAGCTACAGTTGTACCCATTCACTAAATCAGTACAATTGCCCCCATTTAGACAGGGTGTACTGGCACACTCATTGATATCAAACTGACAGTCACTGCCATAGTATCCTGGTTTGCAGAAACATCTCTGGCCACCTGAATAGAAAAGAATACTTCATATGAAAGTATCTCTCCACCATAACAATTAGGTTTAAATGAGATGACATAATTTGAATAATTATTAGTACAGATATATCATTTCTTGTAATCTTCTAATTTCATGTTACTTTAACATTTAAAATGTTGCACATAAAATTATTTTATATCTCATATACTGCTGTCAAATATTACAAGGAAAAAATATTGCCAACCAACCAACCAATGTAAATCATCTTTAAAGGTAAAATATAAACTTTAAGAATAACGATGAAATGTTTTTTATACAAAAACAAGTGTTGCATTTGTTTGTAAATAAAATACTGCATTATACCTGTCGGTATTTCTACACAGATCGCATTTTCAGAGCACAGGTCCAGCAGCTGACATTTCCGCACAATAGCCTCACAGCGATCACCAATAAAACCTTCTGGGCATGTGCAGTTAAATCCACCAATCAGATCCTGGCATGTGCCACCAAAATAACATGGCTGACTTGAACATTCATCAATTTCTGTTTCACAGTTCTTTCCAGTGTAGCCTTAAATACCACAAAAAAAAAAAAAAAAAAAAAAAAAAAAAAAAAAAAAGAATCAAATACAATATATACTTTGTTGAGATAATATTCCAACATATTATCAGTATAACAATGAGATATGATTATATACAAAATTGACAGAACGTTGTATATTTATGCCTATTTATAATTCTGGGGTAGCACTAGCAATTTTTTTCACTTAGCCAAATCACCACTTTTTTGTCAATTTGTTATCCAAATGGTTAAAATATGACTAAAACAAGTCAAATCAAGCCCTTTTTGTTTAACCATTTTAAGTCAGTTTTAGCATTCGGCTAAACTGGTAAGTGTTAGCGCTACCCCAGTTACTAAAAAATAAAGAAAATTTTATTTTTCAAAAGATAAAAGGGTAAGATTTACAAGATATCCTTACCTGGCAAGCACCTGCACTGATAATCCCCATACGTATTATCACACGATAAAAAATTTCTACAAGGTGCCAGGGTCAGACACTCGTCCACATCCTCAGCACAGGTAGAGCCATGGAAATTGACTGGACACTGGCAGAAAAAACTATTCAAGCGGTCACTGCATGTGGCACCATTACGGCAGGGATCTGCTAAACATTCATTGATTTCCTGGAGAAATTCATATTACGAATTTTAGTATTAAGTGTAGGCCACAGAATGCAATGAAAAAATGCTGTTCACTACTCATGGCACATTGTTCATATGTTTATCAAATCTTATATCTAATAAATGAGCAGTTGCAACCTAGGACCCAGTGAAAAATGGGTCCCAGTAAGTTAGTTTTTATAGCATAGGTAATAATGCAATGCTGGATACCTTAAAATCTGAAGAGAACAATTTCAAAACAGTTCAAAGAATTCATGTTGGTAGGAAAGTCATCTTATCACAAATGAATCCACCCACACAAATACTTAGACATGTTTAAATGAGAATTATTTATCAATGCACATTACCTGTTCACAGAGAGATCCTGTCCATCCAGGCTGACAGCTACAGGTACAGCCTGCTATTCTATTCACATAATTAAACATATTAGAATTATTTATCAATCTACACTACCTGTTCACAGAGAGATCCTGTCCACCCAGGCTGACAGCTACAGGTATAGCCTGCTATTCCATCCACATAATTAAACATATGAGAATTATTCATCAATCAACATTACCTGTTCACAGAGAGATCCAGTCCACCCAGGCTGACAGCTACAGGTATAGCCTGCTATTCCATCCACATAATTAAACATATGAGAATTATTCATCAATCAACATTACCTGTTCACAGAGAGATCCAGTCCACCCAGGCTGACAGCTACAGGTATAGCCTGCTATTCCATCCACATAATTAAACATATGAGAATTATTCATCAATCAACATTACCTGTTCACAGAGAGATCCAGTCCACCCAGGCTGACAGCTACAGGTATAGCCTGCTATTCCATCCACATAATTAAACATATGAGAATTATTCATCAATCAACATTACCTGTTCACAGAGAGATCCAGTCCACCCAGGCTGACAGCTACAGGTATAGCCTGCTATTCCATCCACATAATTAAACATATGAGAATTATTCATCAATCAACATTACCTGTTCACAGAGAGATCCAGTCCACCCAGGCTGACAGCTACAGGTATAGCCTGCTATTCCATCCACATAATTAAACATATGAGAATTATTCATCAATCAACATTACCTGTTCACAGAGAGATCCAGTCCACCCAGGCTGACAGCTACAGGTATAGCCTGCTATTCCATCTATACACCTAGCACCATTGGCACAGCTATGGAGGACAGGTTCACGACAATCATCTATATTCTCTGAACAGTTGGAACCTTAAATAATGATACAAGATCAATTGGAAATTCTCCACAGGAGTTAAAGAAAGTTAGCTATTTTCTTGCAATAGGAAAATACATTCAAAAATGACTTAAAAGAAAGAGATTAAAGAGAACAGAAATATTACACCACTCAGGTGATCTTGTGCCTCTACCCCCCCCTTCCTCATCCAAGCACATACCGGTACTATCAAAATATTTCATTCTCCTCCAGTGACAACAGTAACAAAATGTTTATATTATAAAAATGGAGAAAGAAATGATATTCACTAGTACTGTGTAAATCCTATGACATTTTGAAAATCATAAACCTAAAAATCAGCTGTGTTGAACACCTTTTTATTACTATATAGTAGTTTTTTAATACATTGTAGGTTTTGAATTTTGAAGAAAGCTGTTTTGTTGCTGTTTTGAAGAGAGTACTGTAATAACTTACCTCTAAAGCCAGTGGCACATTGACAAATAACACTGGTTCCATTGCTGAGACACGTAGCACCATTCTGACATGTAGAATTTAGGCAGACAGAAAACTGAGACAAAATACCTAAGAAAAAAACAGATAAACAAAAACAAAAAATCATCTATTTCATCTTATGAGTCATATCTTGGCCTCAAATTGACATTTTATTAATCATTAATTGTTTATTATGCAAAACTGGACCCTTTAACTGAAGTATTGTACTTAAATAAGTATATATATATATCTTTGCTTGACATTGTATACATGGAACTTATTAATGCTGGATATATAAACAAGCTACAAAAACCATCCACAGAACATCTGACTTATACAGGGTGGGCTTCAGCACAACGAACAGAATTAATACAATACATGTGTATATCTTACCTGAGGGTAGAATACAAAAGAGAAACAGTATTTGTAAATATGGAAGCTGCCTGTATAATATCATGTTGTCCTTTTACATTGTATCAGTCCTGTCATATCTGTGCCTTATCTCATGCCTAGAAAAAGAATAAAAAATAATAAAAGATAATTTGTTGTCAGCTTCAGGTTAAACAATCATACTAGTACATGTACAGTACATTGTAAATCCAGGACTAATTGAGACCAGAATTTTTACACGAGGATGCCCAAGTAAAGCCTCCCAGCGTGTAATAAGCTCTAGCCTGTATATTATTGGTACAATCGCTGTAACAATACTTCTTATAACTATTTTACACACTACTAACGTTATCACTCGTGTCACGATTTGATTCGAACCAACGTATGGCGCCAAAGTACCATGAATTTAATAGAGTTGATTAGTATTTTTAATAAACTACTCACTGTTATACGTTAAAACATCTTCTAATAAGGACGCTTCAATCTCTTATCACTCAAGAGATCTCTTGCACTTAGAAGGTAACACATTTGATCAACAACGGCTTTCAAATTCGCTTTTGTTTACCTCTCCTGGTCAACTTCCGGTATGCAGCATTTCAAGCAACTGCGCATTTAAGTGCGCATGGAAAGAGTCCCTAGTTATCATTCTGTGCTGGGTGTGGCCTCCCAAGCAAAACCAGGTGCAGACAGTAATATATATGCAGATAGCAGTAACCGTGATTGTCTTAACCAAAATTGGATAGAACCACACTTATTTGTCCTGTATGGAATAATTTGTTCTTGAAGAAACAGTTTGTAAAGACGTGACGCAAATTGTGGGTGCGAGGCATACTTTGTCAAAACATTTGCATCTAATTCATTTTTAGACATCTTTAAGTACCATAAAAAACCATCACAAAAACAGCAAGACATTATTCACAGATCAGATTAAGCACAATGAATTTGAAAGTCCTCAAACACAAAATGGTACTTTAATTATCTATATATTATCTTTATACAGTATGTACAGTCACAATTAATTTTATTTAAACAACGAAAAAATAATAATAAAACGCCAAATTACAAAAGTATTTATTCAGTTTTTATATGAAAAAAATGCATAGATGAGCGAGGTGTTCATGATTGTGAAACAAATGCTAGGGAAGTTTTGATGAAATTTACAAAAACAGACAAACATAATTAAAAGGATGCGGAATTGCGCAACCATAACACGTACATGTGATCTTTCTGGAAACTGCAAAACTGCAGCGTGCGATGAATACATGAATAAACGTTGGAGATAGGGCATATTTTTTTATTTACAGGAGGAGTTTCAGGTGAAATTATGTTATTTCAACCACCCTCTCTCATGCTCGCACGCATGTTTCTAACGCACAGCGCCAAAATGCGACAGTTGTGTCAATGCACAACCGAAAAAATGCGACAGCTGTGTCAGTAAAGAGAACAGTTTTCAAATCTCTAAATACAAGAGAACAAGCGACACATGACAGTACTTGCGCTTCACTGCTATTACACGAAGAAATTAAAGGTGTAACTAAAGCGAACATTTGAAGTAAGTTTTGAATTAGTTTACCGTAAAATAACAATGACATGGAGCATTGAATTTTTATGCTTTAGGGACTCAGAGGATAAATGGTAATTACATTAACGTGAAATTCTAACGTTAACTTTGTGAAACCTGAATGTTGCCCGAGTTATTAAATCATATTAAACCTATAAAATGGACACAGTGATAACATAAAGTCAATTGTAAGTTGTAACTTTTAAGTTCTAGGTTACTATTTGAGAAAGTCTTATGTAACATCTCCGATTGAAATATTTAGGAAATGTTAAGGTACTGTAAGTACTAGTACTGTAGCTAGACAGTCACTACTTAAAGAGTGTTTTTTTTTTTTTTTTTTCAGATTAATATTTGTGGTATTTTTTCTATATTTGCAGTTAAAATTACGGATGAAATGTTCCAGATAGTGTCAAAGTTATCCAGGAAAGCTTTTGATTTTAACATGCTATACAGATGATGGAAAAGCACGCCAATAAATCTGTGACTTTTCAGACTAGCATGAGTGCAATACAAATATTTTTTCTGAGTAAGAATGACCAGGTGTAACAAAATCAAAACATTGCTCTTAAGGAGAAAATGTAGATCTGCATCGCTTCTCATTCTGCTCATTTTGGCAGCTTATTCAGTTTACTATTTATGTAGTGACCATCTTAGTACTGCAGCTTTTCTTGAATTGCACAAATGCCCAGCTTGTTATGGAGTCTCGTACTGCGACCACCTGCTCGAAAAGAGGGTCATTCCAAAATCATGGTCAGGGACTGGACTTTCCAACCTTATCAATGTAAAAAATGTATTCTTTGCACGGCATAGTCACAGATGGGTAGTCCTGAAAAAACTGGGTCACGACAAAGAGCTTACAACTCTTGACAGAAAGCTCTGCTCTCTGGCCAACAAAACCACGAGTAGCTGTGAAGTTAACAAGTTGCATCTCGAGCCACTATTTACAACTCATTTACGCAGTAAGAAATTCTTACTAGAACTGGTCACTGGGATATCGGATTTGACCAGGTGTCCATCAAAAAGACTTGTGGATCTGATATTGAATAGATACTCTGAGAGATATCTCGTTGGACAGGACGTCCAGAAGAGATGGACACCAGAGAGAATAATGGTGCTGCTGACCACCCTGGCTGCTAATCCAGAGCCTGTGATAATGCAGGTAATGACCTAGGAATCTAATTTCTTCATTTGATGTAAATACCATAATGCCTCACTGAATTAAAATTGATATAAAATTGATTGCGTAAATTTCTCAAATAAAGCTTGGTTAGCAATGAAACTTAATACCATAGAAGTACTTGGATGTTAAAACTTACCAAATGCATGATTAAGAAAAACAATCTCAGCAATTGCCATTCATTATAACTTGTTGAGGAGAATGGTAGTGGCAGTTTTTTGCAGAATTTTAAAAAGGGGGGGAAGAACAGTGGAATTTCGATAAAGAAAAAAAACAAGAATGAAATCGGGAAGAATAGCATACCAAATGTACAAGGTATCAGTCTCTTTTACTTGCTTGACTACACCTAAACTTTAAATTACACATCCCATTGCATTCCAATCTTACTTATGATAACTGAATATTTCAGGTATTCCATCAAGACAATGGTTGGCCATTTCCAAGATATTACGGTGCTTGTGGGCGTATGGTTGTGGAACAGTATGTCGGGAAATCATTAGGAGATTACTATGTTTCACCTTGGAGGACCAGGGTAATATTTCAGTTTTTCATTTCTTGTTTATTGTGGAAAAAAAAACATGGAGAATGATAGCAATAACTTTACTAGTAAATAAATGTAAGCATAGGCGCTTGCAATAAAAATAAAGATTAAAAAATATTAGTATAATAATTAGTGATACAATATAGAAGAACAATTGTTAAGTTAAATAGCTGGCTAGTAAAGCAGGAGGTTCAACCTTTTTTTGTGATTGCTTTTATGGATTTTGAGAGATTATTTAGTACCTGTATATTTATTGAAAAAAGATCTGAAATTAAAAAGGATTAATTTGAAAGTTGTACATACAGGCAGGAAGTTCATTGGCCAGAACAGTGGTGTGAGAAAGTGTACAGTTATAAAATATTTTAAATTAAAATTTAACCTTGCCTTGTCTACTCTCCAGATGTAAAGAAATTTGTTATTACAATAAGCTATTTGTTTGGCAAAATTCAATTTTTCTTGATTTTTTAAAAATTTTATTTCTTTAAGCCACTTGTAATCTGTGAACATTGTAGCTAGCTAGAGCTAAAAATTTTGCCCTTTTTGTGTTGTACTTGACCATGGAATAAATAATACATATATATGACCTCATCCACCAGGTTGGACTTGCTTACCAGCTATTCCAAATAGCAGACCTGCTGACCAACAACAAGGGGAACTGGTCACTCTACTGGACAGATGTCAGCTATGATAATATTGCAGTTGACCCTGATGGAAGGGTAGTGGTGGTAGATCTGGAGAATATCATAGTGGTGGACAAACTGAAAATTATACAAGGTATTGTGATTGATAATGGTTTGAACACTTTCTTACCCTAGGTCTGTTCATAAGTCTGTAGGTGAGATGAAATTCACAGAAAATCACTCCATGCATGGTAAAGTGACACAGTATGGTAAATGAGTATTTATGTTCATTTTTAAATTAAAATTTATACTGTCTGGGCTTTTAAAGTTATAACAAGGATTGGGGGTGAAATTTTCCTTACCATCGGCGGATTTCCCACTTTTTGGGAACCCAAAATATCGTTTGCCTTGGCGGTCCCCTAGACCCCATATTTTCTGACTTTTTCACTATATGGCAGTCTCATCCCTGAAAGATGACATTGCATGATTCCATGAAGTCGACTCCAGGAAATTAAGATATACACTCACTGGCTATGTTAGTGTATTCAAACAGATGTTGCACCATGTGATTTTATGTGAATATTGCATACAAAATATTAAACCGATTTTAAATTAGTTGGAGTTCATTTCATTTAGGAAGTTCATTTTTCACATTAAACATTAATTTTAGTTAAGAAGACTGATTCTGCAATAATTAAAAATTGACTTTTCAGTTATGATTTTGTCTGAAAGAAATTCACTCTCAGACTGTCACTTTTCATTTTCCTCAAGATTTTCACAGAAATAAGTTCCGTTTTTCGTTTCTCCTTCCAGATCGACCACCAGAGTGGGACAAAGTACTAACAAGCACCTTTGATGAATGCATTCCGAATCACAACTGTCTTTCTTTCTCGCCAGACAGCCTTTGCACGCGTCTGGTGGCGGACCACAATTACTACGCAGTTTGTCATGGCATTTTATCCAGCTACGCCGATGACGAAGGTCGCCCTGGGGGGCTTCTACACAGCATGCCAGATATCATTAAAACCACTTGGGGACTGGACAAATTATTAGATGAATGCGCAAAACCATCCTCTGAACAAACTAGCAGGTTAAAGATTAAAGATCAGCTCCTCACAGTACTTGCTGAATTAGCTGGAGTAAATGGTTGAGAATTTGTGTATGGTTAAAATGGTTTACTATATTATTTATGTAGAGAATATTCATATACCAGGAAAAGCGAGTGAACCTTTTTTGCTGCAATGGTTTGACTAAGCAATATGTATATTTGAATAATTTATAAAAATGCTTTTTATTGAATATTGTTGTCAGATTTGGAATGTACACTGAGAAACCATGTAAAATGTGATATAGAGTAAATCGTTTAGATTTATGGGATGGAAGTCCACGTCGAGGTGACACAAATAGTCATTCAGTTTGACTAATCCAATCTCTAATATGTTAATTTTGGGTACACTGTAATACTTAAAATAACATCAATATGAAGTTATATGATGAATAAGGGACTTAAATAAATGTTGGGTAAAAAATTACGGTAAATGTTAGCCTGCTAATAGAAAATATAACAGACCCTTGACCTTCAAATACTCACTTTTATTCCAACATGACCAAAGCATCCAGTTGATTAAGAAGAGAATACTTTTAAGTCTAATCAGTGATAGATGTAAGCACATTGCCAATTCCCATGGTAGAATACATGTATAGGACACATGAAACTAAAATGGTAAATATCTATATTGACGCAGGGCTTTGGTTACAATAATGACAAATAATTTAATAGCTAATACAAATATTTTGTTTGTGGTTTTAGCCCTGCAGTTTAATTTAAAACCATCATTTTGCATATCTTCTAAGCAAACTATACTACGTTACAATTTGGTTGAGGTTGTGAGGAAGATGACCTTCAACGACATATTAATTATTTACTTGAAAATGCAAGCTTTTGGGCAAATTAAAAATGCTTCATGATACCATTAACATCCACTACATTTTAATATCATCAGCCACATAATGTGAAACAATTATATTGCAATAAACAGTGCTGTCACATTATTTGAATCCTTAAAAATATAATTTCCTTGCAAGAAATCTATTAATATGCTGTTCTGTCTCTGGCAGTAAGAAAATTAATAAAAAACAGTTGCCATTTACAAAATTATTTCCCATAAAATCATTTCAATAAAATTTCATTTCTTACTTAACCTTATCTAATATGGAAGTATCACCAGATTTTAATGTCAAACTGTTTTCCTTTGTTGAGTACCAATAGATATTAATTACAGGAAGGAATGCACAGCCCAAAACTGTGCTACTTAATGGACTAAATTTCTGGAAACAAAAATCAATGACAAAACTGCATTAAACTTTTAAATAAGCAACTGTAAAAACATTAAATGGTTATAAATTTTTCGTAACGACTATCACAATTATCTGGTTTCACATATAACATACTATATTGGCTAAAACACTAATTACTAAAATACTGTACTAACACTTATTATAACTTGATATTTTAGCAGTTACAGGTCATTTGTACATTTATTACAATTATCTATTTCCTGGGCACATACAGGTAATATGAACATTTAATACAAGTTTAACTTTCTGCAAGTTCATGTGACATCAAACACATCTAGTCATAGTAAAATAGCATTTGGCCAAACTTCAACAATGATTTCAGTTCAATGAAATGTGTTAAATTACATTCTTGAATTGTCCCTCCGATAGTCTTAAAATATATAAATATATACACAATTTTTTTTCAGTCTTCACATCTTTTGTTTAAATTAAGAACCAACTTGAACCATTAATTGAAGTTTTATTTTCAAACAAGTTAACTTGAAAACCTATTATGCAAATCTGACAGCTGGTTTGTTTCAAGGGTAATGGAAACTGCCAAATAAATTTTACTTTTCCTTCATGACTTCACGTTTTTTTCACATTTTTAAAATAAATGTAATAAAAGCTTTGAGGTAAATAGCTTCTACTGAAAGCTAATTATGAGAAAAAATAATAAAGACACACACTGAATCTTTCCTTCGCTGTATCAGCACCAGTTAAAATTATTTAAATAAACAATAAGTTATATATCTAGTATACTGCAGGTCTCTAACCTTGCCCTTTTTTGTGCTGAAGTATGCTGGGCCTATGTTTAAACTTAATATAAGCTTTAAACATATCAGTTTGCCCATTCAGTATATCTATTTAAATTAATAAAGTACCTGTCCATTTCTACTTGAGTAGCAAACTTGCTGGGAGGGCTATTAAACAAATAAGCTTGGCAATTTTTCGGGGTGGGTTCATCTGTCTGTGTCTGTCTGCCTTGCAAATGAGTTTCAGCAACATTTTCAAGTGAGTTACATATACCAGTTCACATATATAACGTTATTCTTGATTGGCCACCTCCCAGACAATCACATGACTTTTGTCTCCTTTACTGAGAGTATTCTGTTTCTTTTCCTCTGCGGCTGGACCGGGTAACAATGCTGACTCGTCATCCCCATCACCTGAAATAAATCATATATATTGTTGTTTGTATCATGAATAAACACAAGTGCCTGTATTCCAACTACACAAAGAAATAACACAACCAAAAAGTTTTATCAAGAAACTGGTACATGTCATTTAAAAAAGCATACCTTATAAACAAGTCTGTGAAATACAGTAAAATCCTTAAAAAGTTTTTGCTTACTTTGGTATATATTTTTTACATATTTCACTACATATCATATTCAGTACTCTGTATGTAAGGAGTATTATTTTTATGTGTGATCTATCATTTGTTTTTTCTGTGCAGTATACATATGAGACTCTATATATTCACCTATTCTAAAATCAATGTACCCTTCTCCACCAGAAAGTATAAGCATGGCTTTGGACTTGGTTTGGCTGCTGCCACCAGATGTCACTCCCTGTCTCCCGGCCCCTATTGGTAGAATATGAAATGAATAGTGACCAGTCACAAAGTAATGAGTTAAGCAAAGTCCTTTTTTTTTTCTTTTCTTTTTGAACACATTTCTTAAAGAACTATATACGCATATAAAACATATTGCAATCAATGCCTTGATCAAAGAAGAGGAAAATGTCTTTGAAAAATTACATATATTTTCTAATGAACACAGTGGTCACGTAATTTCAAGATTTTTTTTTGTCATGATGAACATTTCTTTGACTACTTATGAACACAACTGAGCAAATGTTGTAATCCAATGCTCTTTATCAATAATTGACCACTTTCACTGATAAATAATTTATGATTTGAGAAAACTTGCCAATAAAAGATGGCACATATAGTAACAGTGCAAAAAAACCCAAAGGTATAATCTTTTTATATGCATTATTTAATATCACAATATGTACATGTGTAAGTGCATGTGCAGGTGAGCATGTGTATCAAGACCATCATACCTGGTACAGCAACAAAGAACTTGACGGCATCCCTGTGACCATGAAAAGAGAGTTGAGCTTGCGCCATAGAACAGAAAGGTATAAAGCTTCCTGGGGTTACACTGTCCGTCTTGGTGTCCGAGTACACTCTGATCACACCCCCTGGTCTTCCACTGCCACCCCCCGAGGTCATCTGCTGTTTGCTACCTACAAATAAACAAGTAGAAAACACCACAAATTTAAACCAGCAAAAATGTTCAAAAGTTTGGGATTTGAATAAAAATCGTGATAACTATTTGACACAAGCTGGAAAAATTTTCCTCTCTGAATGTTAGCTCAGACCCTTCTTCAAACTGACAAGAGTAGATGTTGCTCAATGACCACAAACTTATTTTTTTCATTAGCTCTTAAAATTACACACATATGGCTTTCTAACTTGGTAAATGTTCATACAGATATAAAGGAAATGTAAGAATATGTTACATCAATACCCATTTAATGCTATCACAACTTGTAGTTTAAATGGCATTTCCAATGTCCCATGATATTTACAAAAAGATAAACCCCAGCATCACTTTAAAATCACACTGCTGCATTTTCCTTTAATGTATTTCCAAATTCTGCTAAGAGAGAATCTTTACATATTGGAGCTTAAATTAACTAAATTTTCTTCTCAGAAGTAGACCTACTATTATTTTCTAAAAATCTGTTCAAAATTATGAAGGAATTACCATAGTTACCTTCTGAGAGTGGCACAGAAATGACCACTCCATTGCCTGTCCCTATCCACAGTCTCTTACATGACACCAACAGAGAGGTTATACGTACAAAGGAGAAACCAAGCTTCCCAGTACCTGAGAATAATATACATTGTTATACTAATTATTAGAAGCATACTTGTATCCCTAGGGTTGTACATTAATACTTTTTACAGAATTTTTTTATACTTTAAGAACTCTTTTCTTCAAAAAAATATATAAAGATTTTATTGAATAATACATATAATATAATCTATTAGAGATTCTAGCCAGTTATACCAATTAAAACTGTTACATATCAAAGAGCAAAATTTATCAACAGTTTTTTTTTTAAATTAAACTAAGTTTTGTTAAAAGACAAAAATATACAACATCTTATAAGAACTGATTACAGTAAACATTTATGTGCCAAAGAAAAATGTATACGTTCTGGCAGCACATAAATAAATGAGAGTAAAATGCACTCACACACTCACAGCACATTATCAACATACCCAGCATTTTACTGACATAAGGTTCTATGTCTACATCTTGCAGGTGTTCGTGAGTATAGGCGTGGTAGAGCCTTAGTGTGCTGTCCAGGCGTATGGACACCCAGACGCCATCTCCAACCCAGGCCAGCTGGCGAACCTGGCTCTCCTTTCTTGGGTGGGCATCAAAGGATTTCTAGGAATATAAGTAACATCAGAATATAGACGTGTATATCTTTTGAAACTTTTGCTTTATATATCATTTAGCCAGAATTTCAGATCTGATTAAATGCAGTTTCTCCATTTTCAAATGTCCACACATTTGCACTACATGGGAAGTGGCTCACTGATAAGCAGATTTGAAAATGTAGAGACTGGCATACATTATAACCGAAGCTCAGGGCACTAGTATCAAAAATATCCACTAACTGTACATTTTTCCTCAGTTTATAATGTCAGTTAGTGCCACTGCATAAAATAATTGTATTCTACTCAATTTTGTATGATCTATCACATGTAGATTTTTCATTTAAATACAACACTTACATGAATTTTCAGAGTTTTTGGGTCCACCACATGTATTCTGTTCTTGTAGCCACACCAAACATGCTTATTTCCTATGACAGCCATACATCTGATAGAGTGATGAGGGCGGCCCAGGTCCAGCAAATGGTAATTCCTCAGGTCCCACTGACCATCTGAAACACCAGGAAAATAACAATGAGTGAAAAAAGTTTATAAAATAGACCTTGCATTTTATAAAAGAAAGAAATTTGGTCGTACTTAAAAAATACAAATTTTATGTGAAACCTCCTTTTGTTTCCAACTTACTCATATAATAACCAGCTTTTTCTAAATTTGATCAATGCCAGGACCAGGCATGTTAATCTGTAAATGTAATTGCATTCAGCAAGTCCATGTGGAGTTAATGCCCATTAATAAGGTCTACAAAATTCATTGTGAACTGTCCCTTATATTAATCAATGTGTACTAACCTGAATCTCTGTGAAAGATTGCAACAGTGCCATCAGCCAGAGCCACCAGTACACGCCCCTTAACATGACTGCAATAAAGAAAAACATGGGAAACCATCAGCAACAGATATTCAAGGTGATGAGCTGGGCACAATTCCATGTATTAATATGCCCATAGCTTGCAGTATCAGGAGAAATATAAATTTTTTACACAAAATTTCCTCATGTAAAATGTATCTTTTGTTTGCCATTATTATCACAATTTTGATCAGAGGGGAGTTGAACTTCATGCTGTGTAAAACTATAGAAGGTTGCTCTTGCACAGGTTTGTGATATTTTTGGCTCTTTGTCAAAATGTGATGTTAGTGTAAAAAGTCTTTAATATGACACCAAAAACAATAAGATTATGTTTTTTTTATTTTTTGAGTAAAAGCACAATTAAGTTTCTTTAGAGGAATAGCACTTTTAAGTGTTAAAACACTGGTCAATATTATGGGTGCCAATACATCAGCAAATCATATTGAAAGACAACTTACACAATGCTTAGTATGGAGTCTTTCAACTTGACAGAGTGTAGGCAGCGTTTCCACTGTGACACTGCAGAGTGTACAAATAGACTCCCACTCTGAGAGCCGAGCCACATGGTGGGAAGAACGCTGCTCATCTTCTCCACTTCACTGGCAACCATGTTGTTGTCTGCCTGTGGAACAGAGATGCCATCTTTCACCAGTTCATTTGGCTCTCGGATGAAGCGCTTCTCACTCCCACTGCCTGAAGTGACAAATAGTCTGAAAGTTCAAACTCAACCACACACATTTAATAAATATTACAAAGAAACATCAATTTCAAGTAAATATGTAGCACGAGTGTATTTCAAATTATAACAAAGAAATAATTTAAAATTGTTTAAAAATTAAAACTTATGTCTTCCCCGCAGAAAAAAAAATCTGAGACATTTCATCTAATAGTATGAATAATCCAATAATATATGTCCCAGTTTGAATATGAAGACAACAATTAAATGAAGCAGTAAAAGCTTGGTTACTCATTAAAATGTGCAGCATTATAAGATGTTGTGCTGTTGTCCTTACCAATGGAACTTGTGGGTGTTTCTCCCCCAGATGATGCCGGGGATCCTGTGGCTTTCAATACTGTGGCTTTCACTGGGGATGCTGAGGCTCCAAGTGGATCTGCTCAAACATGGCAATGTTTATAAATATAATTCTAAATTTTAGAAAATTACCAAACTATAATTTTCAATACAATAATTTGATCGTAATGCCCGAAAAATATAATTTGAAAGTTTACAATGCAATTCACGTCAGAAAGTGTTAATATTTTTCCCTCACATTAGATAAAATAAGTTTAGAAACCTACATACCTTTACTAGAAGAATCATCAAGACGATTGGTATCTGAAATCATAAAATTTGTCATGTAAAATACTGTTAACATTGAAAATATGTTAAACAATTTACATTTTGAATTTAAATCAAAGACATAATATATATGAAAATACAATTAACATTACATGGGTTATTTCCAAATTACTACATTTAAAACTGGTTTCAAAATACAAAATATATTTTAGTGCTATTAGTTACTTTACTTTAAAACATTCCTACATTAGTATTCAAATAATATTGGACCTCATCCATATCAATGGATTTGCAAAATTGCAATCAACACAAAAAAATGTTGTAACACATTTTATACAAAAGAATCCTGATGGTATCACTACGATCAAAATGTTTTAAGGACATTTCTGAAAACACAAACCATAAACTATTAATACCACATACCACAACAGTTAAAATATTTAAAGCAATAACAATTACCCTTTTCCTCATCAGTTTCACTTTCCCGTAACCTCTCCGCTGCCTGTTTGATTGTGTCTACATATTAGTAAGAAGGAAATAAAATCAAAAACAATAATATTAGTGAAGTTAAAGTGAAATGATAGACTGAGTTAACTGAAATTTAGGTCTTTAGGTTTGAGTCTTGATAGGAATATAAGGAATGTGTCTGTCACCACTGTTATGCTTTCCCAAAATTCTGGCCAAAAACATGCTAAATAGTAGGATGGGCTCTTTTAAAAAGATTTAAGTACATAGAAAGAGAAATCAAACTGTGAAAACAAAGCATCATATTGAACTAAAGAATGTGACCAAAGGAAGAACACAATCCCAAGCACCTTGACCTTATTAAATTAAGTCACTAGTTCTAGCTTATATGTGCTGGTCAAACAAACATCTAAATCTTCCACCAAAACATTAGATCAACCAAAGACAAATCTAGGTTAAAGTGCCTTGAATTTTGGTGACTGGTGGTAGTGATGGTGGGTGAGGGGGGTGTGCATGAAAATTAGGGCCTGCAATATAGAGGTCTGGGTTATATACAACCTGGGAGCATAGGCAGTTCATAATTTATAGCTGAGACTGAGTTTATAGGGCCAAAATATCTGTACTGATTTTATGCATGTGAGGGAGGGGGGAGGGGGCAATGGGACAATGAAGTTAGAATTTTCATATATATCATATAATTATGAAAGCACACAACTGAGCACTCTAAGACATGAATAGAAAACCATGTTGAGTACCTGAGTCCTGGAAAGCTGATCCATTATAGGAGCCCACAGGTGAAATAGTGGAGCCAGTGACACACTGGACAAAACTGATGCCACCAATGCCACTGGACTCAACTTGACCATTGCTGGACACTCCACTTTTCATGGACTCGTTGTCCGAGGGAGGTGCCAGGGCAGCCTCCTGGTCAACTTGTAGAAGCTCATCGTCCACTGGGTAGTCACTTTCTCTAGCACCTGAATTATAAAAAGGTTTGACTGGATATATTTCATTTCAATACATTTTCTATAAACTTTCTAGTTCAATTTAATTAAGGTATCAAAATTTATCGTGACTAATAACACGTTAAGATAACAAAGCAAAAATAAGGCCTGGTTTTACAAACTTTATAAGGGAATTTACATAAAAGCTGACCTAAACTTTATATTAAACTGATCCAAGATAATCAGTTGAGGTCTGCTTTAAAAGGTATTTTGGGTTTGTTTTACAAAAAGTAAGGAAGATCTATTATTTAGACCAATATTCATTTCTAAATTATCTCAATGGACAACTGCAAGTTTATACTGGGCTGAAATTGATCAAAATTTCCAGTCTTGAATTTGACAACCAACTTTTGACTCAGCTTTTGCAACTGAGTCTAGGTCTGTTTTCTATTCTTCACGAGAATTAACTCAGTATCTGTCCAGGGCCCCGTATCTCGAAAGCATCACGCATTACGATCGTGCACAAGCGTCTAGATTCCATAACTCGCCCATACTCACCCCATATAATACATTGTAGCCTCTCTGTGATAGCGCTATTCGCAGTACACGATGCTTTCGAGATACGGGGCCCTGATCTAACTAACCTGGCACGCTAGATATACACAGCAATGGGGAGTGGGTACTGGGGAAGGTCTCCAGGATATCCCCTGGGTTATTCGCATCTATGACACTGACCACACTACTGGAGTGAGTACTGGTACATATCCACACCAGGCTGGACATGTTCTGATCCACGGGGTTGACACCTTTCTCATGCTCCTGGAAGGTCAAGGAGTGTACACTTATATAGATGGCGCCAGCAGTAGACTGACAGGAGACTTTGGTTGTTATAAAATGTTGTACAAAAAAAGTCATGAATTTCAAGAATTTTAATCTTTGAGTTTCTAATTTGTTTTTAAAACATATGGTAAAATGACTGTTAGTGTGAAAAGAAATTTACTTCTCAGCTATATGTCATTATATCAAGTTATAATGGTACTGATTGAGCATTATTAATGACACAGTTTTCACTATACGTTTCCCTAGATTATCAATATGAAAAATATAGCTATATCAAATGAAAATGTCAGCATAAGAAACATGCAACATGAGTAATTAAAATTTAATAAATAATAAGACAAAAAAGCAAGACAACACAAACAACAGACGTGAAAACAAAACAAAAACAAACAAAACTGACATGCAGTCAAGTCAAAACAAGGTTAAAAGCAAACATTATGGTCTATGGGGAGAAGATAAGACCAAATGAGGACAAGAGAAGGACCAGAAAATTCACTGAATAGAAGGGAAATAAAAGAACAACTAAAAGGCAAAAACATCACATTACCTTTTTTTTTCAAAAAACAAAAGAATACTGAAATTCTGTCTCTATTTGCATCATATTTTTCACATCACAAACTGAGTAATCACACTACAGAAAGAACTATACAGAGAATAAAAATGAAGGGTAAAAAGGGAAAAATAGCATAGTCCCAAAGGCAATTGCATTCATGTGGTGGTTTTATATGCTATAATCTGATATGAAAATTCGATTTTCATTGACAAAGTCATGTGTACGACAGATAATTCCAGGCATGTGATAAAAAAACCTGTCAGTTCTCTTTGGGCATTCTAAAAGCTGACAGATATTTATCAATTAGATTTACAAATCAAAAATGGAATTTGATTTCAATGGGTACAATTATTACAACCAGCGAAAACAAGCGTCATTTACATGAAAGGCTCTGGTGCAATTTGCAAAGCAAAACCCCAAATACCAAATAATTTCTTGAAGCAATAGAACAAGCCCAAATCACCTCTCGTAAATCTATGAAAAACATTTGGTCCATTCATCATTAAGGAATGCAGGCCTTTTTTAAATTTTCACAAAGCAACAGCTTTTTTCACCACCACCTTTTATCATATGATTGCAGTATGCAAAGCAACAAAGCTATGATTCGCATATAAATTTACTCACAATGCTAACGCAGTACTAGAGACAGAATCTCAAGTCAAAAGTTGGGTGATCAGAAGTTCTTACTAGTCTTCATTGACACATTTTTTCATATGCTTAATCAAACAGTTTATAAAGTTTTTTTAACAGACTGTTTCCAGGTTTGTTTTAGAAAGAATTGCAGCATTAATTAAGTATGAAGAGTTAAGATGAAAAGAAACGGTGTTAAAAATAGTAAATGTTAAGTTTTTTGTGCATTCAGGAAAGGAAACTTGTGCATTATCTCTCTTAAAAAAAGGAATATTATAAGCTGACTCATATCAGATGTTGGCTAAGTAAAGACTGATAAGCCATATCCATTTTGGTGTGATTCACAACGAATACTTATGTGTACTCGATTTGTTGTGTATCTTTCCAAAGCAGTCTAACTTTGATATGCCAAAATACGAAATTTTGTTTTTATGAGATCAAATCACTCAATCTCAAAATCTACTGCACAGACTATGGTCATTATATCAATAAAGTATCAACACTGCAGCAATACAGTTAGCAATACTCTTCTGACATAATACACTTCTGATCACCCAGGGGGGTCATAGGCACATCACACAGTTAAGCTGTGCTTTCCAGATTTTTAACCTGAAGTTCCTGGTCCAACTTATCAACCTCATTCAATACAGTCTTAGTCTTTTCCTCCTCTGGGGGTGGGTTGGAGTAGAAGACACTTGCCCCGACTATCGAGCCGCCATCTCTTGTGCGACCTCCAGTGATGTTCACCCCTGCAGCACACCAAAGCTGAAATGAGAATAACACAATCAAGACAATATTCAATTAAGAATTCAAATGGTGAAGACTTGCTTTTGTCTGGGGTCTTCTTACAGTGGTGTTATGCACATTAAAACTTTTTTTTTCAAAGTGGCTATATATAGGGGATCAACTACACAATTTAAATTTTTATAAAACTGTGTTGGAAGCCACATTTATCATAAATACAGTCCGGTTGTATGGTTTTAAAATCACACACGCACACACACATACATGCACACACTAAAGTCATACATTTCTGTTACCTTTTCAACAGACTTTAAGAGGGCTGACATTGACTCTCCTATCCCAAGCAAACATTTGGAAAAAGCGTAGGGACGCTGGTTATGAACTCGAGAATCAAGGATGTCTTTTTCTCACCTGACAGGAAAATGCAGTGTGTGTGTGTGTGTGTGTGAGTGTGTGTGTGTGTGCACGCACGTGCGTTTGCATGCATATGAATTATAAACGCTGGCGAGGAGACAAGTTCATGTCTGCCTCCACATTCCTACCTTCATTCCTGGCTCATTGTCCATGAGAGGTCTGCAGTAGACCGGTACAGGCACTGGGGCGGCACTGCGACCTCCCTCCTTGGGGACAGAGGGTTGGAATTTGGCAGGTAAGCTCCACCCATATGCCTGCATACGCCCGTCATCTTTCTTCACGTGGGCACGCACTTGCTTGTACTGCTCCTTACGCTCTCTTTCACGCTCTAATCTTGACTTTTCTTTGCTTTCCCTGCATTATGGAGATTTGGAGAATATTATGGAGAATTTTTTCTTTTGCCATGAATATGTTTACATTAAACACAGTTAAATAAAAACAATATCTTACTTTTAATTGATTTAAAAAATCACAACTCAAGTTATTGCGATATACCAAAAACCTTCACAAACAGCCATATAATAACCTCTTCACATAAAGGAAACTTTATAACAGTACAGATTAACAAGCAATGAGAGCATTAATTTTCTATACACTCCTACAGTGGCTGACCTTCCTTAGAGTCAAATTATCCCACTGAAGATAATCACAGTTACAGTACTATAAAAATCCCCACAGATTTCATCAAATTTCCTTTTTAATAATCAGAGAACTTACTGGTCTTCCATGAAGTCATAGGCCTGTTCTTTATCACCAAGGTTGTAAGTACTTCTGCGTTTCTTGTTTGGATCTCCCACTGGCTGTACATGGGTGGTGGGGGCATTATAGCGCACAGTGGCCATGGGTAGTTTTTCCTTTTTGGGTTTGTTTGAGGAACTGCTAAACAGGTTGCCGAAACTGTTCAATGAAAAATTGAAATAAACAGTTCACAGAGAATACACTTATCAAACATGCACACTTCCCAGCGGGCAAAATATGTTTTAACGTTGAAACAACCTTGAACCATAACGTTGATAAGACGTTGGATAAACATTGGATTTGAAAGTTGACTCAACCTCAGATAACAACGTTGTATCAACATCAGAAAACAACATTGTATCAACCCCAGTTGTTAGACAACATTCTTGCATGAAAAGACAGTGAAATGACCTGAAATGTTTTTATTTTTGGTACAAAACACAGGTACACAATTATAACGTACACTGTAAAAACATCCAAGTGCCTGCTTTGACTGATTTTTTCAACGCATTTAGCTCCTAAGCATGTTTTGCACCTAAGCATGGTACACCTTTTTAGCCTGGATGTGTTTAGCAGTAGGACATATATTTGATGGCTAAATATATGTATTGATAAACAAAGTATCACGTTTTCAACAATTAATATTTTAAATTACAATCCATGTCTGCAAGGTTGTGTCAATGACCAAAATACAATGTTGAGTCAACGTCACATTATGAGGGTGTTTCGACGTGGCTGGATCAATGTTGAGTCAACGTTGAATTTAGGTAGATCAACGGCAATTCAATGCATCAACCTGTTTTCAACGTTGATCCAATGCAACTATGCCTGCTGGGTTTATTTTTCAAACTGAAATTTTTAACACTCAATCAAATTTTTTTCATGATTTTGGTTTTAAGATTATGTATTGCATGTTTGTCTTGTATCATGAGAATGTTCCAAAAGCTGAGTGACAAAATTTATGCTAATACAATACAATATCTGTCTATTACAAAGTGAGATATGTTGTTCAATTACCTTCCTGCACAAAACCTAAATTTTATTAGTATAAAGGATTTTCCTTTCTTGAAAACATCTTTTTTTTCACCAACATATATTTGGGTGCTAAATGTGCTTTCATTCTGCAATTTCATTATCTTGACCGTTTGTAGCGCAAAACAAAATGTTAAACGTTTGTTTAACTGGAAAATTGTTTGTCTAATTAAAATGAAAATGATATTCCCATCTTTCAAAAGCTACCATGGAACATTAGATTGTGCTTAATACCCTCCAAAATTATTTTCTCCATTATCAATGAACATCCAGTTTTAGGTCAATGTATAAAATGTGAATTTGGAGATTAAAAAGAATTTGTCGCAAGATTTAGTTTGATCCCTACCCAGTACCTGCACTGTTTTCTTTCAAATGGCAGTTTACAATTTATTCGCAATTTTATTGCTTTGTTCATCCTCTCAAAATAAACACATTCAACCTCTCTGAATGGAAATTTGCAATGAAATTCAGGAGTTTTATTTTCAGTATCATCATTAATGCATTCACATTATCATGGTACTTTACACAGCATCCATGAGCATCTTTAAGATATTTATGACCATCATAATGAATATGTATCAGACAAAATATGCAGTCATAAAATTTACTTGAATGGTATCAGATTCCATTATGTATGTTATAACAAAGAAATAACAGTTTGTTTCATTTTAGAATATGATCCATAGTGTATGGTCAAGAACATGGGGAAGATAAACAACAAACAAAATCCATTTTCTTTTCATAATAAATAAACATGCAATTTATTGCTTTGCACAACTTTCCCAACCTGTACAAAAATGTGAACAGTGTTGAATAGTCAAAATAGACTAATTAGTTAAAGTTAACAGTCAACAGTGAATTATCTCTAATCTAATACAGAACGATGGCAAATTAAATTTTTTTACATTGAAAAGGTGCCTTAGAAAAAAAAACAGTAAAGGGCAAGCAATATGTTTTATGATCAGATAAGTCTTGGGAATTTCTTGATCAGATGACAAAAAAAAAAAAAAAAAAAAAAAAAAAATCTTTCTTTTACAGATCATGAGGGATTTGCCAGATGTATTCGACTTTCAAATTTACGGTGATTGAACATTGTTCAATAGTAAGAAGGGATTTCATAGAGAAAGTTTTGAGACACTCAAAATTTCATAAAACATATTTTTTACCTAAAAAGTATAACAACTATTTTCCAGAAAAGTGAATAAATTTTAAATCTTAAATATGACTGATACAACAAAGTTACTTTTCAAATTCAATTTCAATTTGAAACCGCATTAAAATACACAGTCAAACTGTACAAATTAAAATTGCACTTGGTAAAATTTCATAAGAACAATGCATCCTTTTCTCAACTTTGAAAGAAATCCCCAGGGATCAGAAGACCATACATTATGGATCAAATGCATTAACACGAATCTGAATGTTAGTGCTTTAAAAATATTTTGCCTCAACCAGTCATCTAAAACAGGAATGAAAAAATTCAGTTTAGTAGCAAAGCAGTGTTTGGTTTGCAGTCCTGGAGTGAAAATATGTTAGGAATAAAAATAATATTATAAAACATTCAAATCTTTTTTTTTTTTTTTTTCGTTTTTGCTGTGTCAGAGCATTTACGCAAAGTAACAACATACAGACGTTTGAATTTAAAATAACTCAAACTTTGCAGAGCAAATAAAAGGGTAAAAATAAAAGACAAATTAAAAGCTGGCAAAACAATAAGCACCATGCTGTTTAACTGCTGATTAATTAATTTAGACTCATTGTTCAGCTTTTCATTTGATTTCCCACGTGGCCTTATGATCCCCAGGTACTAAATATTATGACAATTAATCAGTCCAAAATTTCTGTCATTGAAATTTTAATAGATCACAATAAGCTGCCTATGCATTATCAGGTACTTAAATTAGACAAAAATAAATTTCAAATCAATAACAAACACAATATGTGCATCTTAGCTCAAGTAAAAGCAAACTTCCACAGAGAAATTATATCCTAGATGTAAGATAAATTCCTTGCGCGTCTCGTCCTAAAATTTTCATTAAATTCATAGGTAAAGCCAAATAGTTGTATTTCAATCTCATTAAATTCATTAGGTCGATTTTTAAGAGTAGTTAATAAGGAAAACCATCCTGATTCACGAATATTACCTGTTCCACTTGATATCAATACTGCAAAATAATGATTTAAATTCTCACAATTGTACACTTCTTCCCTGAGATATGCATGGCAGTGACAGAAAACGACAAAATGGTGCTTAATTTAAAACATTAGCCAAATAGTTGAATTTCCAATCTATTAAAAATTATCTTTTATAAGACAAACAGGGAAATTATATCCAAAGAAAACATGTTTCCATAAAGCACCTGACGTAAAAAATAAGTCAACATTTAAAATGACACTGATAAGCCATCTGAAATCAGCACCATCTTTTTCCAGTCATGTAAATATTTCTACATGAAGTGAATTTGGTAACAGCTTTCAACCCTTCACCGAACCAGTTATGTATAAAGTGAGGGACTGCTATCTATAAAGAGTCCCATTATAGTTAAAATGCTAATGGGTTTTTGAGTATCAAAATCGACTCCCTTCTATGTACAAACCCTAATGAGATCACAACCTAAGGATTGGCTCATCACACTTAAAATATTGAAAATTCTAGGTGCTAGTTTCAGGTGCCTTTTTTTTTTAAAGGTACAAAAATATATGAAATGCTGCATCGTAAAATGAGAAGGTAAGCTGCCGTCTTGGAATGTTAAATGACTGAAGATTTCTTCTCAGTTGGTTCATATGCAGTAGCAGGTTCAGGGTCACCATAAACGAGGTGATTAAAACTGCAAAGGAAATGACACAGAAAAGTCAAATGGCAGGGGATAAAACATACTGAAGACCAGACGCACATGCTTGGGAAAAACCAAATATGACAATTAATGGGGGAAAACACCTAGCATAACACAAAAATTTTGAAAAAAAAAAAAATAAAATAAAAATCAGCACATTAATGATTCCATTGCTGTTGTTTATATTCATAATTTGGTACAACCTTTTTCACCATCCTAAGCTTGCCCTTGATTTTTTATTTCATATCGAAACATTTCATATTCAGTCAGTGACATGTTTAAATTTTTAAAATATATTCAAAAGTAGCTCAAACTTGGATCATTAAACTCCTATAGTTCAAAAAAGCTCCAAAAGTTTTAAAGAAGTCTAAGAGTTTATTTATTTTATTCATTTTTATTCATTTTTTATACACGTCCGTATGAAGTTCAGCCATTTTGAAACAACTTGGTCTTTATTTATACATGCATAGTGTAATACTGGTAAAATATCCAATTGAAATAATTTATCTGCATTCTGTCAATATCTACCAAAATCTGAAGACATTTTTCATTCATCTTGATATGAAATTTTATTTTCAATAAGAACATTCTGGTAATATAAATCAGTATGATAGATGCTTTGCTTCTCCATCACATACTTTTTTGCCTATCATAAGTATTCATTCATTTACATCAATATAAGTGGGGATTTCTTCATCTTTTCATATCCAATATTATGAAACAAGTATTTGGACCAAAATAAGAAACTAAACTAATAAACTGTGATAAAAAAGCACTACTTACAATCCCCAGACAGAGGACTTCTTCTTCTGTGTCTGTATCACTTCAGGGTGTTCTCTCGAGGCCCGGATCATCTCCGTCCAGCGCACAGCCTCCTGCAGTTCCATCAGGCGCTCCTTGTACTGGTTTCTTTCCATTAGCACCCGCGCCATCTCCACTCGGGTGAAACGTTTGCGCTGGGACATGGGAACATCCTCCTTAGATAGAAATATACAACATTATGGTGAATTTGAGCACTTCTTGCTCCTGGTTTAGGCACTTGGAATAAAACAACATGCATTTGTGGTAGTTTGCAACATAAATATACCATTTGTACGTGACTTGAAATAATGGTTTTATTACTTAACTAAACATGCTATCTAAGTTGTGTAAAATTAACATTTACATAACAAGTATATTTATGTTTTGTTGCCAACAGTGTTCTTCTCAACGTTGCTATTGAATTCTTAAAACAACAAAAGAAACATTTTACTAAATTTTCTTCAGGTATNAAATAAAAATCAGCACATTAATGATTCCATTGCTGTTGTTTATATTCATAATTTGGTACAACCTTTTTCACCATCCTAAGCTTGCCCTTGATTTTTTATTTCATATCGAAACATTTCATATTCAGTCAGTGACATGTTTAAATTTTTAAAATATATTCAAAAGTAGCTCAAACTTGGATCATTAAACTCCTAAAGTTCAAAAAAGCTCCAAAAGTTTTAAAGAAGTCTAAGAGTTTATTTATTTTATTCATTTTTATTCATTTTTTATACACGTCCGTATGAAGTTCAGCCATTTTGAAACAACTTGGTCTTTATTTATACATGCATAGTGTAATACTGGTAAAATATCCAATTGAAATAATTTATCTGCATTCTGTCAATATCTACCAAAATCTGAAGACATTTTTCATTCATCTTGATATGAAATTTTATTTTCAATAAGAACATTCTGGTAATATAAATCAGTATGATAGATGCTTTGCTTCTCCATCACATACTTTTTTGCCTATCATAAGTATTCATTCATTTACATCAATATAAGTGGGGATTTCTTCATCTTTTCATATCCAATATTATGAAACAAGTATTTGGACCAAAATAAGAAACTAAACTAATAAACTGTGATAAAAAAGCACTACTTACAATCCCCAGACAGAGGACTTCTTCTTCTGTGTCTGTATCACTTCAGGGTGTTCTCTCGAGGCCCGGATCATCTCCGTCCAGCGCACAGCCTCCTGCAGTTCCATCAGGCGCTCCTTGTACTGGTTTCTTTCCATTAGCACCCGCGCCATCTCCACTCGGGTGAAACGTTTGCGCTGGGACATGGGAACATCCTCCTTAGATAGAAATATACAACATTATGGTGAATTTGAGCACTTCTTGCTCCTGGTTTAGGCACTTGGAATAAAACAACATGCATTTGTGGTAGTTTGCAACATAAATATACCATTTGTACGTGACTTGAAATAATGGTTTTATTACTTAACTAAACATGCTATCTAAGTTGTGTAAAATTAACATTTACATAACAAGTATATTTATGTTTTGTTGCCAACAGTGTTCTTCTCAACGTTGCTATTGAATTCTTAAAACAACAAAAGAAACATTTTACTAAATTTTCTTCAGGTATCACATTAGGTGAAGAGAATGTAATCTCCAGTCTCTTCTGACTTAATAATCAGCCAGAAACCAAACCGAAGTCCAGTAAGTGTGACACAAATATAGTTCTACAGACCTCATCATCTGCTTGAGCAGCAGAAGACTTCTTCTCCAGTTCTTCCTTAGTCTTCTTCAGTTCCTCTTCCAACTCTGATATCCTTTGTGACAACCTGACCTTTATAGTCTGAAGACTCTGTATCTCCTGTCTCAGCATTTCCTGCTCACTTTAAGTAGAAAAAAAAACATTTAGCAACTAAATCAACAGAGATTAAATAGAAATCTGCTCTTTAGCACAACTTAAAAGTAAGAAAGCAAACAATAAGAAATTTTATATGAGAATGAGAAAAATATTCCAGGCCTGCCCTTTATTGTCGTTATTTTATTCTTTAATTTTTTGCTGACAGGCACTTTAGTTTTGGCTAGGTGGCTATGAAAATGTAAGAAAATAAGGCATCTAAAACTAATGCATATTGGAATTTTCAACAGCGAAATATTGATGGCAGACTTGAAGGGACATCAGGCTGTCCAATGTGACATAAAACCAGAAAAACATTGTAGAATCCCATAAAAAGCTAAAATCAATCAATTTTAAAAAGAAATTAAAGCAGGAAGAATGAGTCTTATTCTGCCAATCATTTTGCAAGTAAGCAACTTGTGTGAGTTACCTAGTAAGTTCATCCACTTGAGCAATGAGATCATCTTTCACTATATTCAATGCATTCCTACAATGAAGAAGCAAACAATTAATACCTATATCATCCACCTAAAACCAACAGTGTTTGACACTTACTTGTCAAAATAAATCTTTTAAGGTTAAAAGGCTTATGTGCTTCTAACTATTTGTGTAAAAGTGTTGATCTTTTTCCTTCAACTTCCTTTCTTATTTAGTTATTCTATTTTGACAAAAGATCAGACAAAAACTTTGAAAGTAAACAATATCACTTACTTGGTAGCCAGGAGCTCGTTGTTTTCTGATATCAGGTTCTCCACTTCTTTTCCCATTCCTGAAAAACATTCACTGGCAAAATGAATCTCAAAATTTAGATGTCATATACCGCAGCTGCCAATGCACAATATAAATAAGATATGAAGGGAACAAATTTTACATGTGCTTTTTTTATGTCATTTAACATTAAATTTATATATCAGCAACAACAATTGTTGAAAATACATTTACTTTTTAGGTATCTTTTTGAAAGCAGCTCATGTTAGTTAAGACAAAGCATATATTTGTCTACTGTTAGGCATTAAATGTTACCTAAATATTGATATAAAACACTTCAACAAGATCTCTTCATTCAAGAAGACAGCAGATTTAGGCAGAATTCTACTTTTAAAAGTTGACTTTTTCTTCACAAAATCCCTATTATTAAGTATTACTACCCTTCCCACACTATCCTACCAACAAATTCCTCTTCCAAAAATAAATAACAGTTACAAAACTATTTCAATATATTCAATTTACGTGAAATCATAGAAAGTTAAGATTAATTCCCATGATCTACAGTAACTTCCACTATTTAGTCTATTATCTCAACTTTATATCCCACATCATACCAAAACAGACTGTCAATTTAGAGCTTTAACTTAGTACATTGTAAATCATCTCTCACTCCACCTTCACTTTGATTTTTAAAACAGGGTGCCTCAAAAGTATATTTTCACATTATTTGTTTTCATTGCAAATTTCTTGACTCACTCGACTTTTTATCACAGACAAAATAAAAGGTCAATTTCATTTGTTTGCTTCAAACCTTTGACACACCCTGGACAACCAGAATCATTAATTTCACCACAAAGTTTAATATGTTTAATCCTGTCATTATCTTAATATAACAATCTATTGTTGATGATTAGCAAAAATTAGTGAATAATCAAATCTATATATAACCACAAGTCATCAGAGAACACATAACCCTTTCTATGTATAAATGAGATTACCATCAATCGGGTACGATTCTGCAAAGAAGCAATGCATCATAAAATTCAATACAAATCTGGAAAACAGCGTGACCCATACCTTTACACATTCATATCTAGGATCTGTTCAATCAACACTTCACCCTATTTTTTGCCTCAGTAAAGATTTAGAATACGAAAATTGTGCTCAAGAGGAATTTTTGCAAACAAAAATCACTGTTTTGATAGGAGCAGCAAAACATTTCTTCACTCTGGGCCAATTTCACATGGTTTTCATTACAGTCTAATGTGATAAATTTACCAGGGGCCTATTTCACACAATGGCTTTATCAAAAACCAATCTTTGCAAAGACTACTAAAATTTGAGTCAACCAAGTCCCATTTCATGAAGAATTCGAATAGCCTCTTAATCGATCTTTGTTCTTTATCTTTTGACTTTAACCTCATGGGTCATTTGGACATGTCAACTAAATTCTATGTGGGACAATTATTCATAAAATGCCCTGAGAGCAATATCTTAAAGTTGAATTTGCATTGCTGACTATTTGATTTTAGCAGTCCAAGCCTAGCACTTCAGAATTTCTGTGAAAAAGGCCACTGGTCTTTAGAGGATATGGAAAATGTATAAAGGGATATGAATTCCTAGATATGGTGCAAATTCAAGGAAGGGATCACTTGAAATATTGCAATAATATTCCTGCAACGTCACAATCGGGTAACACTGATTGTTATAAGCAACAGCTTACCAAAGAATGTGTCACTGACTGTTCCATCCAATTATGAAATGCATGGTTGGTAGAAAATGTGAAAAATATGCTGTTATTTCAATGTGACATGCATCTTTTAATTCACACACTGTAAGACAATTTGTTACTTAATAAATGTTAGAGATTGTCATAGCCTATGGAAGTTCTGTACATCTACAACAAGTGACTTCATACTTGAGACAGTGTAATACTAAAGACAAGTGAAACTTCTACTGTACATGCTACAAGATTTAAGTGACAGAAGTCATCATATCAATGTGGACAAAAGCAAACTTTTCTTCCAGATGGCATGATTTGATGATCCTTTCTTACAATTCTATTTCTAAAACTTTCCTTTCCCCAAAGGTTTAAATTTAAAAGCTTTTTGGCATTTCAATAAAAAATGCTCCAGAATAGCTAAATAAAATTTCATCAAATCATGCCTCCTGAGAATTTCGGTGAAAAGTTGTATAAATATAATATCTAAATAGTAAAATCCTACCGTGAGATTCATCATCATTCTCACTATCTGTATGTTGACACAGGAGGCAGAGACGCAGTATGCGCATGCAACATAGAGCATAACACAAAACACAAACATAGAAAAGAAAAAAAATTAAACAAAATAAAATCATGCACAAATTCGTATGGAACAAAATTCAAAATCTAACAGTTTCAAATTAGAAGTTTATACTTACAGGCATGGAAAAATGTATAACAATACCTCTAATTCTATTCATACTTATTTGAAATTGAAAGAAATATATTCTGACAGATAAACTGATTTTAGAAATATTATTCCATCATTATTGGTTTGTTTTTTTTATAATGTCCTGTAATTTTTCATACAATTAGTAATTTTAGTCTCAATTTGATTTATGTGCTTGGTGCTTGTCAAATAACAGCCTATTTATAAGTTTCTTAAAACCAAAACCAAACTCAATCTTTTGGCCTGCATTCGCATTTAAAGTATTAGAATATTAAATGTATAATTGTGATGTTAAAAATGTATTCTAGTGAAATTAAGTCCCAAACTCCCAGGGTATCCTTCCCTACTTCTCAGGTCCATAACCACTACCAAGTGTCAATAGTTTAACCAATTTCCCCCTTTAGGTCTTTTTTTTTAATTAACACCTATCAATTAGACGAAAATTTCAAAGTTAAGTTTTCAGGTAAAATATTTCACTTATTACCATACCCATGCAATACCTGTTTGTATCAGTTTTTATTTTAATTTTTATTAGGAAAAAAGATATTGAACCCCTCCTTCAAGTTTTACCTACTAAAACCCAGGGTTAGTGCATAGTTAGTGCAGAACTTTAGTAATGAAAGTGCAGAAAAGGACAAACAAAATGTGATATTATTTTTCTGGTACCACAATCATACCAACATGCTAAGACAGCAAAGGGTTAGGTTATCAAAGTTCCATACGATAAAGATGTGCAATTAAACACCTTCAGCCTGGGGGATAGCAACAATGCACAGTTATAAATTGATTATAGTGAATTACATGCATGTGAAGAAAAAAAAAATTTTTCATGTAGTGTAACTATTGGTGGCATGTCTGATGTGTTAATGTCATGATGCTAATACCAAAGTTATTTATGCATTACTAAAATTCGACTGACTGTATTTATCTTGCCCCAATGTTTTGAAATTGTGTTTATTTTAAGTTGTGTCCAAATAGAAGATGCATTTGTGTTGTAAGTTGTTATAAGGACAGGCAATGTGAGAAATGTGCTTTTCATAGTGTATTTCATGTCATCCTGCCAATGCCTGTGAACAACCTGTAAGAGAGTTAGTACTAAAAGTCTACTCATTGTTATTGCAGTACAGCTAAAACATAATACTACACATCACCAAAACCCAAACCAAACATAGTAGGAAATGTGAACAAAACCATGATATTTAACTGACCAGAAGAAGCGTATTCCCCAGGATGAACTGGCTTGCCTGGAATGAGACAAAAACGTTTCTATGAACAAACCCACTCTAAAATACCATGCAAAATAAGGGATATACCAAATGTAAAAATCTTTTATGAAGGAAAGAAAAATGCTGTAAATGACTGAATGGAAATCTGTACAAGATTCAACTGAAACCTCTGCATAATAAAGGCTTTAAGTACACAAGAAATATTTTTCTACATGATGGTTTTCATAACAAGAATTTATATGAATTTACTGACAAATATTTCTATAAGGAAATCATTTTCAGGACTCATATTACTGTATTTAAGCCTTCATATATGTCTCTGGTACCTGTGATATCAATTCCATCATCCATCTCTGCAATGTCTTCATATAGTTCATCATACAAAGAAGACTCATTTCCTCTAAAAGAAGTCACAAAGCAATACATGTCTTATCAATACTTTTTTATATTAAAAATTTAAAAAAAAGAAAGAAAGAAAGAAAGAAAGAAAGAGAACAAGAAAAGGACCTGATATTTGATATCTGATTTTTAAGAAAAATAGGGTAACAACCAAGTATTAATAATAGTGAAAATTTTAAGTTGTGATGCTGGACATTTAACTTACCCTCTTGGCTTGTTTGACTTCGAGAGAGACATCCCATCAAAATCTTCAAGTTCCGGTGTGGACTGAATAATTTCTGCCATTGTCTGACCAACACCTGAAATTACACAAAACATTGTAAATACCACAACATCTTTTGTATATCAAAACTTAGCACAAAAACAGTGAAGAATATAAGAAAGTTTATATATATTGTAAATATAATTTACTCTACTGTATATCAAAACTAAGTACAAATACAGTGAAGAATATTAGTTAGTTTAAATATAATGTAAACACCATGAACTCTATTGTATCTCATAACTAGATACAACCACAGTGATGAATATTAGAAAGTATTTAAAAATATAATGTAACTATCATGAACTGAAAACTAAGCACAAACACAGTAAAAAAAATAATATATTTGAACAAATTTTAAACAGGAATATCAGTATGAACAGTGAAAAACAAGTTAAATGCAGTTTAAAGCCCCTTAGAGCACTAGGTTATCTGTCTGTTAAAGACACAGACCAAAACTTACGTTTCCTAGGCACTTCATAACTTTCTTCTATACTGTTCAAAAATTCCTGTTTAACTGGCACAAGGGGAACACGAGCTACTGGGGTACTACTAGTTAATAAACTAGACACAGGAGACACATGCACTTTGCCCGTTTTATCAGGGCTTTCAGTCCCTGTCTGATTTGTGTTAACAGTTCCAGTGGATATTTGTTTTTCTCCCGTCTGTTCCGTTTTGGTGTTTGAATCATTTTCTTTGGCAGCTGTTGGGAGTAACAACAATGACAAATGCAATAACATAAACTATACATGCAAAAACGTATAAAGATATGAAAACAAATGAGAGTAAGCCACTTTAAATTATAATAACAGATCATATCATCATGTGCAATAGTTATGCTATCTATGGATTATTAATTTTTGAATTTTGTTATTAAAAGAATTTCCAATAACCTCATAACCAGTACACATCCCTCTAAGAGTGTATGGGTCAGTAACACATTACAATTAACATAAAAAGAACCAAAATAAAAGACAATATCTTTCTCTTCAAACATTTACCTACATTCAAAAAAAAGAATACCAAAGTTATTTATACATTACTAAAATTCAACTGACTGTTTTTACTTGCCAAAGAATATGGTTAAGCTTTCAGTTCAGTAAGATTTACATGCAAAAATAAAAACATTAATTTTGTTTAGACATTAAATTATGTTAAACAGGTCAAATTCACATGAAAAGCTGCTATAAAAACTCAGACAAAAATTCTTGACAACTAACATCAACATATACAGCAAATTAGCATAATGTTGCAATTGGCAACAGGACTAATTTGCAACTAAACAAATCAGCTAACTAGAATTCACATGTAAACACGAGAAAACAGCCATCATATGCCTTCTCTAACCTGGCGTAGTTGCATGCTCTGCAGTCTCCAAACTATCTGTGACTTGGGTCTTGTCAGCGGTTTTCTTCTTGTCTCCAGAGGCTGCTCGCTCACGTTCCAACTGCTTCATTTCGTTACTGAGACTGGTGTTGTGACTCTGGGGTCGGCTTGAGGAGGAGTCGGAGCCAGAGTAGTCTGGAGTAAGCTCGCCTTTAGATGGCGTCTCTGCATTGGAATAGATGTTTACTCCTCCTGGTACTGTTTTGAGATGAGGCAAGTGAAGACCGCTCCTAATGTAGAAATTAAAATATATTTTATAAACAGTATGCAAAACAAACAACAGACCAAAACGACTAGCAAATCATCTTGAAACTTGAAACAAGTCATGTTGAAACTTCATGAAAAAAAAAATAATAATAATAACTTTTAAATATGATATAGACAGTGAATAGGTAATAAAAAGTAGAAGAATTTAATCATTCAAGGCAAAGCAATTCTTGAAGAATCAAGAACCAGTAAAACACAGACTTTAAACAAATACGCAATTCTTGGACATTTACCTTCCCTTTGGACTGACCAGTGGTTCAGTGGACACTCTTTCCTGACTAGCCATCAAAATCTTAGTTCTTTCCATATAGTCCATGTGGGTTCTAAACAACTGGAAATAAAACAACAACCCATTTCTTAACATTAAACTGTCACATGCAATTAATCTGTTTCAAAGATGACACCAGAAGCCATCTTTAAGTACTATTAAAATTTTACTGTTCAAAGAAAATTCTAAAATCATATTACTGATTGTGCAAGAACATCCTATCCTTGTGTCCAAGTATTGTGTGAAAACATAAGCATGAGATAATTTATAAATTTGAATTATAATCAACAGACCTTTTTTTATTTCTAAAGTATATGTTACCTCTGTATATCTCTCATGCAATTTGTTATACTCCTTCTTTGATTCAGCTTCTTTTTCTTCTAATCTCGATACTGTGTGTGAAAAGGAAAAAAATGCATACCATAAAACTTGTTATTAACTTAAGACAATACTGTTTTTAAGGTCTCCACGCCCCCCTTAATGTTAAAAAACACCAAAAGAAAAAGAATGAACAACTCAGGCATGTGGCCATCTTTAATGAAATAGTAATATATTATATATATCAAAACATTTACAGCTGAAACATGATGAACCATCTTTCAAATATCTAATAGACTATTTTTTATGGCTCACTCACTCTCTCTCTCGCACACACAAACATGCACACACAAACACACAGCTACTACTTACAATGATCCTGGTTATTTTTGGCTTTTAGTTCAAACATTTTAACAATGGACTCCAAGCTTTCCACCTTGTCCTGGAGGGCCTTCCTTTCTGTCTCATTAACATCTTCAATTTCTAAGTATTTCTGAAAGGATAACTCTTGAAATTAGTAGCGAATGAAGAGTGGGACATAAAGTAAATATTCTATTTCATATCAACAGATAATTGTAAGATATACACAAGTTTTAGTAGCTGATTCAAATAACATTAAAAATAAAATCCTCATCTTAAATTTCACAACAGCATATCATGTACTGTGTCACCCTTCACATTTGTTCCAAACTAAAATTTTGTTTGGAATCCTGTTATTTTTTCTTCCTTGGAGCCTCCTACATGAGAAATACTGATAGCACAATTGCCATTTGAGGTCAAGTTTACATAAGTAAACTAAACCATGTTTTTGACACATCATTATTACATGCACTTTTTTCAGGTTAAAAACAATTTTAATAAAACCTTTTCTATTTTATATAAACCTGCATCCGTTAAGTTTTTCAAGGTATTCAATTATTCAAATTGGTCCTGACATAATTCCCACTTGTAGTTGAGAGCATTCAGACAACATGTAGGCAGCAAATCCCTGCATGTAATCAACACTCAACAGACAAATATGTCAGCATTACCTTGGAATGAACCAGGATATTTAATGAATGCCCAATTCTGCTCAAAGCTGTAGTACATCTTATTAGCCACTTAACTAAGTCACCAAAGTAATTCCTTTTGAGACCCTTCATGTTGAAAATCTAGGCAATATCTTCCTCTGTAAGCTAATGCCACATCCTCTGCTACAGTGAAACGCTGCACAAATCTATTGATCCAAAATATTACAGAATGTCGCGTTTTATCTCCTTGACATTTGTAGTGTTTTCACTTCTGCTGAACTTTGGCTGAATACAATTGCCCAGTCTGCTAGCAAAAAATACAATGCAAAGACGATGCTATTTCTGGAACTGATCGCAATCCAATTATCTTGAGGTACTTGTTAGTCACGAATATCTATAATCATATATAGTTGGAGATACAAAGTTGTTAGTTAAGGATGTCATATTATAAATAGGATGTGTTTAACTTGATTTTTTAACAAAGATCTGCACTCGTTTTTCTTTTTGGTAAGAAACAAGTTATTTAGCAGTAAATGTTACCAAACCTGATTTATTTTCTTGGGAGGTCAAACTGAAACTTGACCCAATTTTGATTTTGACTGAGAATAAAGGATGTGTCACACCACAAGCTTTTTTTTTTTTTTTTTTTTGCCCTTTACTGTAAAGCCCAAAGGTTGCATTGTCCTTATTTGGAAATTTGCTTGGATAGAAAACCTCTATCTTAATACATGGTTCTTTTAAATATATCAAGTGAATCAAAATGAAAGACAAAATTGAGTGTTTTCAGGAAATGAAAAGGAACATTCACACACCAACCGATGAAAAAAAATTCTTTCCTATTAAGCTACATTGATAAGGGCATCTTACAGGTCTGCTGCATGATATGTTATCTGACTGACCCTATATTTTCCATCATAAACACTGGAAAAACATCTCTTTTGCATCAATATGTCATGAATTAGCCTTTACTAATAACCATATAAAACACTGGTGACATAACTAAACGGCTATAAAACATTAGAAATTCATTCTGTCTAAAAGAAACTGAAAATATATTCCTTTAACAACTGATGCAAAGCAAGTTTATCACAAACAGCAGCTGTCTCAAGTAGGCTAACAATCAAAAGTTGTATAAGTATCCCCCCAACCTCAATCCAACACCCCCACCTCAGATTAGCTTGATTGTATTACTAACTACTTTTTCAAATTCAGGGGTTATTGTAGTTGTTCTTCATTACTGTTAAAGCCAAAGAATTTATTTTGAACCAAAGTGAATATTAACAACATCTGCAAAATAAAGTATGGAGTGAAAAAAAAATGCATATGCTAGAAAAGGTCTTGCAGTTTTTCGTTTTAGGTACATGGGGTAGAAATCCATTAATTATCAAATTTCAATGGGATATCAAATCTAAACATCCTTTTCTTTGCATAAACACAATTATGGTAGTTTCTTAAAACAAACAATAGCAATATATCAACCCTAGGGTGTGTTTTGATGTGACGGACCACGCCCCCCCCCCCCCCACACACACACACACAAATATATCATAGAATTTCCATTACATCTTTGCAACAAATGCAACATGAAAATATTTTGTTACCTTAATACTTTGTTCTATTTATTTTAATAAAAAGGTTTAATGCTTTGTTGACTGCACCCCCTTTCCTATTTCCAGATCAAGATACAGGAAATGAAGAATTGGGATGGCCCATGGTTAACTAATTTGTACAATATGGTTTGTTCCCTCGTCATTATAACATAAACCCAAATGTAGATCTAAGATCTACCAGCAAGAACTTATACGGTTCACATGACAGACAACATTAGTGTTGAAAAAGACATTAACCTGGTCGGCCTGTTTCCTTAATTGCTTTTCACGTTCGTACTGAGTCAATAACTGCTCATTATCATCTCGTAATAATTCCAGTTCCACTTCATTTTCTTGCTTGTCCCTATATGACTGGTCTAGATTCTCTAGGACGCCTACAACAATTGGCATCAGCTGTTTTACGACATCTTCGTCGTATTTTTTAATCATCCGTTCAAACTCTCCATATACACTTGCTGCAAGGGCCTGCACTCTTTCTGACATTACATGAGTCTCAGACTCTTGCGTTCCATACACGGTATCACCAGACGTCTCTGCCATTTTTAGCGATCTGAGCCCAACCAGTTACTCCTTATTGTGCTACAAAGATCCTTGGTGCGTTGGGACAACTCCGATCTCCAGTCTATATATCCATGGCTCATTAATAAGCTGTGCAAAATTATTTTAGGAGGCTTATCAAGCCCAGGGAATCTTGTACTATCGATGTGGTAAAAACAGTATCATGTGACCTTTTGCGCAAGCGCGTCAACGATGCCGGAAGTTTTGACGGCGAATTGTGGGATCGAAAGGATGTCTGCACTCACATGTCTTGTTCGAGACGTGGGCAAGTTTTGCCCTTTATATGGGTTAAAATGGTCCCGTTCCATTGGGGTTATTGCTTCTACCAAAAGACAACAGTTTCGCCATTACAGCAAATCAAAGCAATCCATCAGAATAGGTTGCTGTTCTGGATTTTGGGGGGATACAACTGTTGCAGGTATCCCTACGTGTGGACTCTGACATCTACATGTACATTTGCTTGATATTTCTGTCGAAACAGGCAGTGAGAACCAGATAGTTTATTTTGCTTTGAAATGCTCATACTCGTGGATGTGCAAACACTTAATTGAAACACGTTGGAAATACCTTCTGGGGGGGGGGGGGGGGG